AATCTGTGGAAAGTAAGCACACATAAAAATGATAATTATTAACTTTAAGAAAAACAACCCCAAAAATGGGCTGGAAAGAAAAAGTAAGCAAAGTTGACTACATGCCTTGGCCCTGAATAGTGTTCACAGAGTAAAAGTAATACAAACACTGAAGGTGTCTCCGTCCAGAGTTATCTGTAAGGAAGATGAGGAGCTGAGAGGGGTTGCCCTGTGTGGGGTAGGGGTTGGGAAAAGGAGTGAGGCTAACACTCCATCCTCCAGAGAGAAATGAATAAATGATGCCTAAAGCAGGGGAAAAAAAAAAAATCAAGAAACAGTGATGCTTGCATATTATCAGACACACAGGTTTGGACGCCCAAGAAACTGGCTGAACCTGTTGAAATGGTTCCTTTTTTGCTAGTGAGATAAGCGGATTGGGGAATGCTCTTTTTTTATAGCAAATCTGGGATGTATAAAATATGTAGCATTTTATATAGACTGTTAGAGTGTTCATATATAACTTGAATAAAAACTAAAAAAAACTAAAAACAGATGTGATCTTAAAGGCAATCTCTACTACAGTTTGTTTGAATATGAGATTATTTTGTTGTGAGTAACTGAGGGGACACAGACACAGAAAGGAAGCTGATGACCTGTATCTTGATTGGAGTGCTGTTCACTTGAGTGTGTTTCTTTTGTGAAAGTCCGCCAGGCTGCACACATATGATTTGTGTGCTTTTCCATTCCTATATGTATTTTTTTTTTTTTTTTAACTTCAGCAAAAAGACTGCTTAAAAAATAACAAGCCACATCCTATTTCAGCAGCTTTGGACAGAAACAGTGCATGTCACAGTGATTCTCCAGAGGGTGATAATTCCAGCCCCTGGTGAGCCAGTTGGCAGTCTCATCCTTCTTGGGTCCTCCCTCGAGGGTTTCTGAGTGTTCCCGTGGAAGAACTCCCGCCTTCCACAATCTGCCCTGGCAGCGCTGGTCCGCACGGCCACCCTCTCCTTGTTAGGGTCAGGACTTGCCGTGTTACATGGGCTCTCCCAGGCTGCTTCCACGCTCCCCTTAACCCTTCCCCCAGTGACGGCCAAGCCCAGCAGCACGGGTGAACAGGGTGGTTGCAGGATCCGGTGCTCACAGAACAGGCACACTCCTTTTTCGGCTTATCTTGTTTCCTCACTGATGACTCTCCTGTCTTTTCACCATGTTTTTACTAACCATCCGTGGGTAACAGAGATTGTCAGTGACCTTAAAACTTTGTCTGAAAGTGCCTATCTGGGCAATTTGCCTAAATCAGTGCTTCCAGCTTTGTATCCAACCAGGTCTCTCCCCTAAAACTCCGAAGTCCAGTGGAGTTAAAGAAGTTAGAGCGCAGGAAGTGAAAGCTTCAAACTGGAAACAAAACATGTATCCCTGTTTCATGCTCACAACAAGGGCTGTGAGGTCCTTCCTATCCAGGTGTTCCTGCCGCTCATCTTTTCTGAGAAAGTCCAGCCTCAGTCACTGTCATCCTCATCATCACCATCATTCCAAACTCAGCAGAGTTGAAATGCTGCCCATGGTGCAGGACATCTTGTCAGTTTCTACGCAGAGCAGTTTTATTTCCCAGACTTCCCAGTGTTTCATTTTAACTTTCCGAAAGCACAATTGCACTCATCTCACATGTTAGTAAAGCAATGCTTAAAATTCTCCAAGCCAAGCTTCAGCAATAGGTAAACCGTGAAATTCCAGATGTTCAAGCTGGTTTTAGAAAAGGCAGAGGAACCAGAGATCAAATTGCCAACATCCGCTGGATCATTGAAAAAACAAGAGAGTTCCAGAAAAACATCTATTTTTGCTTTATTGACTATGCCAAAGCTTTTGACTGTGTGGATCACAATAAACTGTGGAAAATTCTGAAAGAGATGGGTGTACCAGACCACCTGACCTGCCTCTTGAGAAACCTGTATGCAGGTCAGGAAGCAACAGTTAGAACTAGACATGGAACAACAGACTGGTTCCAAATTGGAAAAGGAGTACGTCAAGGCTGTATATTGTCACCCTGCTTATTTAACTTATATGCAGAGTACATCATGAGAAATGCTGGGCTGGAGGAAGCACAAGCTGAAATCAAGATTGCAGGGAGAAATATCAATAACCTCAGATATGCAGATGACACCACCGTTATGGCAGAAGGTGAAGAAGAACTAAAGAGTCTCTTGATGAAAGTGAAAGAGGAGAGTGAAAAAGTTGGCTTAAAGCTCAACATTCAAAAAACTAAGATCATGGCATCCGGTCCCATCACTTCATGGGAAATAGATGGGGAAACAGTGGAAACAGTGGCTGACTTTATTTTTCTGGGCTCCAAAATCACTGCAGATGGTGATTGCAGCCATGAAATTAAAAGACACTTACTCCTTGGAAGGAAAGTTATGACCAACCTAGACAGCATATTAAGAAGCAGAGAAATTACTTTGCTAACAAAGGTCTGTCTAGTCAAGGCTATGGTTTTTCCAGTGGTCATGTATGGATGTGAGAGTTGGACTATAAAGAGAGCTGAGCACCAAAGAATTGATGCTTTTGAACTGTGGTGTTGGAGAAGACTCTTGAGAGTCCCTTGGACTGCAAGGAGGTCCAACCAGTCCATCCTAAAGGAGATCAGTCCTGAGTGTTCATTGCAAGGACTGATGTTGAAGCTGAGGCTCCAGTACTTTAGCCACCTGATGCGAAGAGCTGACTCATTGGAAAAGACCCTGATCCTGGTAAAGATTGAGGGCAGGAGGAGAAGGGACAACAGAGGATAAGATGGTTGGATGGCATCATCAACTCGATGGACATGAGTTTGGGTGGACTCTGGGAACTGATGATGGACAGGGAGGCCTGGCATGCTGCGGTTTATGGGGTCTCAAAGAGTCGGACATGAGTGAGCAACTGAACTGAACTGAACTGAAAAGCATAATCAGGGGCTTCCCTGGTGGTGGAGTGGTAAAGAATCCACCTGCCAGTTCAGGAGATGCAAGAGGTGTGGTTTTGTTCCCTGAGTCAGGAAGATCCCCTGGAGAATGAAATGGCAACCCACTCCAGGGTTCTTGCCTGGGAAATCCCATGGACAGAGGCACCTGGTGGGCTTCAGTCCATGCAGTCATGAACAGTTGGATGTGACTGAGCACTCAGGCTACACAAGCACAATCAAAAGGTCCCCCTGGTGGCTCAGATAGTAAAGAATCTGCCACAGGTTCAATCCCTGGGTCTGGGAAGATCCCCTGGAGAAGGGAATGGCAACCCACTCCAATATTCTTGCCTAGGAAATTCTGTAGACAGAGGAGCCTGGCAGGCTACAGTCAGTGGGGTCACAAAAGAGTAGGACACGATTTAGCAACTAAACAACAACAACAGCAAATCAAAAGGTCCACTCCAGTATTTAAACCAGGTCCAAAGAGCAGAGCAGCAGCCCCTTCATGATTGTTCCTTCTACTGCCATACCCTGAAAATTGCCTGCAATTTCTAAATAAGCCTCTTAGCCTCAGAAAAATCCAGGTCCCAGCAAGTGATGTTAAATGGAAAGGGGAGGTGATGAAACTGCTCAGAAGGTAAGATTAAGGACTCAGGAGAAACGCTGCTCTGGCCTCTCTGGCCTTTTCCTGAACAGTGCCTGTCCCTTTCCTGGACAGCGGGGTTGTGTTTAAAGACACCATGAGTCGTGCTCAGGGCCCATTTTCCTCTTCACATCAGCAGGCAGGAAGCTCAGAGCCAGGTCTGTGGCAGCGGCAGGTCAGAAATGGGACCTCATGCCATGCAGTGAGCCCAGCTTCACGCCACTGGCTTCCTCACTCTGGCTGTACGTTTATTTCATTTTCCTTCCTTTTAGATGGATCACTCTGTGTCCATTTTTGTAAGCCTTAAAATCCTTTATCAAGACACAAAGAAATTCTATTTTTAAAATGCACTAAGATTACAGCTGCAGGCATACCTCGTTTTATTGCACTTCACAGAGATTGTGGATTTTACAAATTGAAGGTTTGCGGCAACCTGGCATTGTCAGATGATGGTTAACTTTTTTTAGCAATAAAGTATTTTTTTTAATTAAAGTATGTACATTTTTTAAGGCATAATGCTATTGCACATTTAATAGATTGCAATAGTGTAAACATAGCTTTTATAGGCACTGGGAAACAAAAAAATTCTTGTGACTCACGTTATTGTGATAATCGCTTTGTTTTGATAATCCCTTTATTATGGGAGTCTGGAACCAAACCCACAATATTTCTGAGGTATACCTGTGTGTGACAGAACTGTAGGTAAACATTGAAAGGTAACTTGAAGAGAAGATAATTGTATTAGGATGATAGGGTTACAGGTAATTTATTTTCCTTTTCAAATGTACATTAATATTGTAAAGTACATTAAATGATATTTTTAGTCATTTCTTCTGATTAGAAAATTATGTTTGTGTTAGAAATTGTAGAAAAGATAGAAAAATACAAAGATGAAAATTAATTTTATTCATCATCCAAATCTCTAAATATAAATATTATCTTTTTAGTCTATTTCTTTCTTGTCTTCTTCCACATATGTGTGTATGTGTTACCTCTGTATATTTTCAAATTTATTCTTTCTTTATAGTTTTTCATAAATTACTGTTTTTTTTTTTAACAGTAACTTTGGGGATCTCCTAAATATTTAGTATCCTTTATTTTTAGCACCATCATTTATTTGTTTGTTTGGTTTTTGCCATGCACATAGCATGAAGAATCTTCGTTCCCCCACCAGAAATCAAACCTGTACCCCCTCCAATGGAAGTGCAGAGTCGTCACCAGTGGACCACCAAGAAAGTCCCTACACCATCGTTTTAAATCATTTATGTTGTATAGTCCTCATTTTATATGTGTACCCTATTTATTTAACAAATTCCCCTTTGTTGGACATTTAGGTTGTTCACTAATAGTCATTCCTTTCTGGATTTATCTAGATGGCCAAATAAGCCAACTTGACCAAAATATGTTTCATCTACAGAATTCCTTTTTCTCTTTTTGCAGTGGTCTCTGGTTCGTCATCCAGCTCTAAGTATGACCCTGAGATTCTGAAGGCTGAAATTGCCACAGCAAAATCCCGGGTAGGTCCTCTCTGCTTATGCTATTGACGGGGGTCCCAGAGGCAGCTTTTGACTAAGAGCCTACCCACAAGACCAGAGTAGATGCTTCAACCAGGCAGTGACAGCTGGTGCTGACTAACAAGCCCCTACCTAACAGCAGCAGTAGCTGTAGTAGCCCTCGTTTTACTAATAGCAGTGTTGACAGCAGCTACCCTTTCACAGGCAATCACTCTAACCAGGCGTGGTGCTAAATGGTTCATGAGGAATGCCTCGTGCCCTCGCGACTATCCTGTGAAGGAGCCACTGTCACTATCTGCATTTTGAAGATGAGCCAGCAGAGGCTGGGCGGGGTTAAGTAAGTCGCTCAAGGTCACAGTGGACTCAGGCTTACCCCAGATTTCTTCATGGAAGGTGCTCTCTTCCTAACCGCTGCTTGTTCTGCATTGTCCTATTTAATTACTTCCTGCTTACCTTAGGGGACAGATGGTTTTAGTCCCCCTTTACTGACGTGGAGATGGACTGAAGACTTAAATGACTTGCTCAAGGTGAAGTCAGTGCTGTGAACAGGGGTTTAGGTCTACAGATCCAGATGCCTGTAAGAAAACATGGAACGGGAGAAGGGGCTAGGGATGAGGCAGTAGGGGCCTGTGTAGCCTAGCAGGGTATGTCTTGTCTAAAGGAGTAGTGGGATTTTAGCCCTGAGCTCTTGTGCCCATGCTGGAACGTGAGCTCCGCCTTGGCACATCTTCAAGTATTTTGAAGAATACTGTGTATCTAGGCCTAGTATACGAAATAGCTCAATATTTAATTATCAGCAACAAATTTTTAAAAATTTTTATTTATTTATTTTTGGCTATGCTGGTCTGCGCGGGCTTTCCTGTAGTCACAGCGAACAGGGCTACACGTTAGTTGTGGTGCACGAGCTTCTCTTGTTGCAGAGCATGGGCTCTAGGGCAAGTGGGCTTCAGTTATTGCACCCTGAAGCCCGTGGGCTCAGTATTTGTACTTCCAGGCTCTAGAGCACAGGCTCAGTAGTGACGGTATGCAGGCTTAGTTGCTCCCTGTGTCTCCTGGCTTTGGCAGGTGGATACTTTACCACTGAGCCCCCGGGGACGCCCATCAGCAACTAATTTTTAAAAATTTAGTAAGACTGCAAGCCAAAGCATTTCTGCAGGCTACAGCTGGCTTCCTGGCCAGGTCGTGCCTATAAAGCTACTATGCTGCCTCTCGCCTCCCTGCCCTACAATAGTGAATCCAGTACCTGCTTTAAGTAATGCCCCCCCCCCCCAAAAAAAAAAAAGTAATGCCCAACCCAGGAAATTGCCCTTATCGTCATCTGTCAGAAACAGGAAAGGGAGGCTCACAGAAGCAACGACATGACTTGAGAGAAGCCAGCCGACTAGTCAGGGGGAAGGCCAGACTGTAGCCCAGGTCAGCCAGGTCCGGTCAACTTCCTGTTTCCTTGGAGTGAGGGCTGGCTAGGAAGGACCTCCAGGACCACTGGACTGGGAGGCCGACCAAGTGGGCAGCTGCTGAGACCCCAGCAACATCAGTGAGGGGTGCCCAGGAGATGCTGACCTGAGTCATATGCAGGGGCAGCTGGGGGCTCTGGGTTAACATCAACCTCTGTCCCTCCGTGTGGTCTTCTGCCATCCAGGTTAACAAGCTGAAGAGAGAGATGGTTCACCTCCAACAGGAGCTACAGTTCAAAGAGCGTGGCTTTCAGACACTGAAGAAGTAAGTCCATCTTGTGCAGGGTATGGGGATTACCCTCATCTGTGCTCTCCTCCTGTCCTCTCTGTCCCTCTCTCCTTCATTCTCTCTCTACCCTCCTTGAAACGGGGCTTTCTAATTGTTCAGTTCCAGTTCTATTCTACTGAAGACTGTTCCCCAAGGCTGAGGTTTAGAAAGAGAAAAGGGGAATCATTTCCGATTCAGGTTCTCACAGTCCTCTGAATTCCAGAAGTCATTAAAGTCTGTTCCATTCAGTTGAGTTTTGCCAGCCACAGAAATGAGTTATCGCCAGGCATGTCTGTGTACCTAACTCCTCCCTTGCTGTAGATGGGGGAGAACCTGATACGCACACGGACAAAACCAGCTCTTTCCATGGCCCCCAAAGTGAGCAATGACTGGCTTGTGCGTTCCCAGAAGAAACAAGGATCCCTTCCACAACAAATGGATTTCTAGAAGAGTGGGCACCATGCCATGCACACTGTGCTTTGCAGGTGACTGAAGAGAGTTCCAGAACTTTGACCACATGTAGTTTTCCCTTTTAGAAGCTGACTTGCAGCCACGAACATGCAGTTCTCTTGTTCCTTAGAGAAGATGTGCTCTTTGTCACTTTTATGATTATACTAGCAGAGATTTATTGAGCAGGTAGTCCATGCCAGAGATCACTTGCAGTGTTTCTATCTTGGTGACCCCTTGTGACAACTCTGTAAGGAATGTGCTTTAGCTGACTCCATTGTATAGATGGGGAAACTGAAGCACCTAGTCCATGTTCCTGAGTGTCAGCTTATTGTTGTTATTAAACCACTCATATCACTGAGATTTGTGCCTTGAGTCATGTTTAGTACGTGTGATCGGCTCATGGGACAGTCATTACAGAGGTGCCTCGCAGTCCTCCTGGAAGCTCCAAAGAGGACGGTCAGTAGGTGTCTCTGTTCTAAGGGCTATCCTCTTAGATTCCCAGAGAGGTCACCTGTACACAGACAGCATCCTCTCTAGACACTGCTGTCTCACTCTCACTGACTGTATCTTCTCCTCATTCTCCAGACCTCCATCCACTCTCACTACTCTTGGCCACAGCCCCAAGCCTTTGGGTGTTTATCTCCAAGCCCTATGAATCGAGGGGAGTTGTTCAGTTCAGTTCAGTCACTCAGTCGTGTCCGACTCTGCAACCCCATGGACTGCAGCACGCCAGGGCTCCCTGTCCATCACCAACTCCCAGAGTTTACTCAAACTCATGTCCATTGAGTCAGTGATGCCATCCAACCATCTCATCCTCTGTCGTCCCCTCCTCCTCCCGCCTTCAATCTTTCCCAGCATCAGGGTCTTTTCAAATGAGTCAGTTCTTCACATCAGGTGGCCAAAGTATTGGAGTTTCAGCTTCAACATCAGTCCTTCCAAAGAACACTCAGGACTGATCTCCTTTAGGATGGACTGGTTGGATCTCCTTGCAGTCCAAGGGACTTTCAAGAGTCTTCTCCAACACCACAAGTTCAAAAGCATCAGTTCTTTGGTGCTCAGCTTTCTTTATAGTCCAACTCTCGAGGGGAGTTGACCAAAGGGGCCGGTGGGTTCCTATTCACATATCCCCACTCCCCAGACCCCTATTGTCCAGGTGAGCCACCAGGATATAAGGAAATAGGGCTTTGTATTATAGATTGCATTGAGTACCTTTTTGTGTTATGTGTTATGGCTTTGTGTTTATATAGATAAATATTGTTTAGGTGTCTGTATATACATATGCCAGTCCTGTGTCTCAAGCCAGTTTCTAGTCTCATTAGGACGAGGAGCCACACTTTATGCTTCTTAGTAATCTCCAATGGTGCCAAGGGCAATTGGGGGCAGTAATGAGTTCAGAAAATTCCTGTAAAGCAAATAGCCTCATGAATCTTCCAAGGCAGTGGAGCAGGTTCTGAGCACATAGTTTAAGGGCTACTCACTCTCAGAGCAGGGGTCCTCCCCCTTCCTCTTCCTTCCTTCCCTCCCCCCTCCTCCAATGACTCCCCCACCACCGCGTGCCCACGCCTCCGCACCCCCCCGCCCCAACTCCTAGGTGCTCTGGAGCTTCTGGTTAAAACACTTGCCATTATTCTCTGAGCCACCACAAACCTGTTTTACCACTTTGTCACCCTGTAGCAGCATTGATCATTCTTGTTGCTTGGTAAGCTGACGCTGAAACCCCAAAGACAAGACTCCTTTTCTCCCCCTCCTTCAGCCGGCCCACCCCAACCCCTTTGATATCAGGCCCAGATAAGACTGCCTCTCAGGGCTCCTGGGCCGGAAGCCGCCCCCATGTTCCCAGTGGAGGAAGGTTTCTGCTCTAATGCGCACCTTGGCAGAGAGGGTTAGGAATGTCGCTGCCAGGGGCGGATGGCCTAGGTTCAAGTCTTAGTTCCCAGGGAACACGAAAAAGTGGTTTGCTTCATCTCCTTGAGCTTCTGTTTCTTTATCTGAAAAATAGGATATAGTAAATATTGAATTGGAAAATCTGCGTCAAGCGCATGACCGTACCTGGCATGTAGGGAAAACCCGGTGAGCTGAAGGGGGTGGTGACCTCTAGCTAGCTGGCTGTTTGGACTTGGGAAGGAACTCACATGAACTGTGCCTTCGCCCTGGGCACCAGTCACCTCCTTCCATTGTCTCTATTCAAGCAGCTTTTATTCTGCTTCTTTTTATAGGCCAGGGTACTTGATGGGGCTGCAAATAGAGCCCAGCTCTAGAGTGTCGGCGCTAGACCTCGGACTCTTGGGTTTTGAAACTCACGTCCTTATACCTGCCTTCCTGGTGTCATCCCAGATAAACCCCCCAGGCCCTGAAAACATCAGGCCCCTTTCCTTCTCCCAAGGGACTGCATTCAGTGTCCACTGGGGAACTGTCCAGTCACTTAGCATCCTCTCTTTGTGGAACCTGGAGGAAGCTAAAACTCATTTGGTTCATGGTCAGCAAGGGGCTTCCCAGATGGCACTAGTGGTAAAGACCCTGCCTGCCAATGCAGGAGACACAAGGGACACGGATTCAGTCCCTGGGTCAGGAAGACCCCCTGGAGGAGGGCATGGCAACCCACTGCAGGATTCTTACCTGGAGAATCCCATGGCCAGAGGAGCCTGGCGGGCTACAATTCATGGTGTCAGAGTCAGACACGACTGAAACGACTTAGCACACACACATGGTCAGCAAACCCAATTTTAAAAAGAAAAAAAGGTTGCTGAGGATGGAAGCAGACCTCTCAGAAAAGACTGAAAAGAAAAATCAGGACCAAAGCCAGGGATTTGGCCCCATCAGCTGCCTTGGGCCCTCATAAATAAGGAAGACTAGGCATACCATCCCTGGGGGCGGTGGGCAGGACAGCATCTCTCTGCTGGTCCCCAGAGCCACCCTGCCCAGTGAGAGTTGTCTGGAAAAGACCCAGAGGAGCCAGCTACCATCAGAGCCTTTGCCCTGCTTCTCTGTTGCTGCCAGGTGTGACTGTCTCAAGTGCTTAGAGAAAGGACAGCCGTGTAATTTGGAAATCCTAAAACACACGTGTCCCGCTCCCCACCCCTCCCAGCACATACACACCCTCTCCTTCCCACCAACCAAGCAACTTTTCTTTCCCTTTAAAACAAAAAAAAAGATTCATTCACTGAGTGCATAATAGTAACCCTTTGTTCCCCTCTCCCTACTCCCCAGTCCCCGAGAGTCCGAGCTCCTCTCTGGAGCCAAATTCCAGAGCCTGGGTTGCTAAGGCCCCTGAGAGCAGTCAGGTAGAAGCCATGTGACGCGCCCGAGGCCCCGAAGACAGACCACTTCTGTCTCTTCCTGCTGAGGATTCAAAGCCACCCTCACCCAGTTGGCAGGGGGCAGCTGGGCACAGCCCCCTGCCCAGAGCCCCCAGCCCCCGGTCCTCCCCTGCACCCCCTTTCCATTTGGGACAGGGCCACCTCCTGCCCCGGGACATTCAGCTCTAGGGGGAGCCTCCTCTCCACCAAGCATGTTGGTCAGGCCTCTGTTGGGAATGCTCCCTGTAGACGAAGTTTTCAAACTCGATCTGAGACCAGTCTTAGCCGACCTGGCAGGCTCACCCAGGCCCAAGTCCTCGAAAGGCATAGACAGGCTATTTTTAGCAGGGAGACATAACTAGGGCTTTGTCTTCCTCTGAGGAGGAAGCTGAAGGGATGGGGCCGTGAGACAAGTCTCCTTACCCTTCCCCACTTGCAGACAAGGAGGCCAGGATAAGAACCTGTGATTCCCCACTCAGGTTATTTTTAGCCCAGGACACTTCGGCCTCTAGAAGGTCAGAAAAGCATGCCTCGGAGTGGTTTCTCATCCTGCAATAATGGGTTTGTGGTGTTCCCTCAGACTACAAAACTTCCTTTTCTTCACTGGGAACTTAAATCTCCGCCCTGGATTTTGATGAAGGTGTGAAGCAGTTAAAATTTCTCTCTGCGCTCAAAGCCTTGTCCACAACACAGCTCCCCTTCTCCAAGAGGGCTGCCCCCCCCAATAGGATTCGTTTGACCTTCAGAAAATGGCATTGTTCCCTTTCACCCCCATCTTCCTCTATCAAAATGAACCTGTGTGTAGGGCCTGGATGAGCCAGCAGACTCCCCAGTTTGGAAGTATTATAACCCCTCACATTTGTCTCATACTTCCTAGCTCCGCACCCCATGTTCCAACCTTCTCTCTTTGAACATGGCTCACAGCTCGGTGAACATGGGCGAGGCATGTGGCATTATCCAGGTTTTTTTCAGAGGAGGAAGCTGAGGCTCCGTGTGCACGAGGGCCACGCCCAAGGTCATGCTCCTAAGTGGTGGCAAGGGGTTTCTTCATCCTTCTAACCTTTCCTTCGTGTGGCCACTAACTCCAACGAATGCTTTTTTTAAAAAATTATCGTTATGCTTTTAAAAATAGCTTACTTATTTATTTACTTTTGGCTATGTTGGGTCTTCGTTGCTTCACTGGCTTTTCCCTTTTTGTGGCAAGCAGTTGCAGTGCACAGGCTGCTCACTGCGGTGGCTTCTCTTGGTGCGGAGCACGGGTCCGGGGGTGGACGGGCTTCAGTGGTTGCAGCTCCTGGACCCTAGAACACAGGCTCAGTAGTTATGGCACATGGGCTTCGTGGCTCCGTGGCATGTGGGATCTTCCCAGACCAGAGATCGAACCCACATCTCCTGCACTGGCAGATGGATTCTCTACCCCTGAGCCACCAGGGAAACCCAACAAATGCTTGTTAAAGGCCGTGCTTCTCAGCAGCGGTGACTTTGCTCCTGCATCCAAGGGTCATTAGGTCAAGTGTGGAGACGGTTTCAGGTTGTCACGACTCAAGGTCCAGACGCTGCCAGCATCGAGTGGGCAGACACCAGGGGTGCTACTGAACATCCCACAGTGCACAGGACAGCCCCAACAACAGAGAGTGATCCCGCCCCAGGAGCCCCGAGGTTGAGAGACCTGAGTTAGGGAACACGGAAAGATGCTCACCATCGCTAATCTTCAGGGAAATGGAAAAGGATTGCCTCACACCAGTCAGAGTGGTCATCGTCAGAAAGAACACAAACAAATGTTTGTGAGGATGTGGAAAAAGGAGAATCCTTGTACACCGTTGGTGGGAACGTAAACTGGTGCAGCCACGATGGCGAACAGTATGAAGATTTCTCAAAAAACTAAAAATAGAGCTACCACATGACCTAGTAGTTCCTCTCCTGGATATATATCTTAAAAATCACTAATTGAAAAAGATACACACACCCCAGTGTTCATAGCAACAGTGTTTACCATTACTAAGGTATGGAAGCAATCTAAGTATCCATCAACAGATAAATGATAAAGAAGATGTGGTACATATATACAATTGAATGTTAGTCATAGAGAAGAATAAAATTTTGCCATTTGCAATGACACCGATGGACTTGGCATTATGCTAAGTGAAATAAGTCTGACAGAGAAAGACAAATCCTATATGATATTACATACAACAAACTTTGAGCATAACAAGAAAGAAGCAGATTTACAGATATAGAGAAAAAACTGTGGTTACCAGTGGGGAGAGGGAAGGGGGGAGGGACAGTATGGGGTAGAGGGCAAAAAGGCATTATTATGGGATTATATGAAATCATGTGTGTGAGTGAACCCTTTTGAAAATTGTAAAGCACTATAGAATTGAAAGACTTTCATTCAGTAAAATAAAATAATGTTAAAAGGGACTTCCCTGGTGGTCCAATGGCTAAGACTCCACACTCCCAATGCAGGGACCTGGGTTTTATCTCTGGTCGGGGAACTAGATCCCACATGCCTCAACTAAGACCCAGTTCAGCCAAATAAATAAATATTTGGAAAAGAAGATCACATTAAAAAAAAAAGTATGGTTCTGTGCTATATAATAAAACTACTCAAACATATTCAAGCTTATCAGATGACACCACCACATAAATTATTAATTATAACACAACATACCGAGTGCAGTGTCACAGCTCTACAAGATGTGTTATGAGAACATCTAGCCCAGCCTGGAGACTCAGGGAGATGATCAGGGAAGGCTTTCACTAAGAGTTGACTTCAGGAATGGTGTTGCTTCTGCAGCCTAACACTCACATTTGCAATTTGACAGGGACCTTCTGTGCTTTATCCAATAGGCAGGACCTGAAGAAGAAGGGACAGAGAGGAGACTTCTTTCAGGACTAAAGCTCTGTGGTCTGTGTTTTTTCCCTGGGGGAACCCCATCCATCACCCTATTTTTGTCTGACCTTTCCCCTTGACTGTCTCCTAGAATCGATAAGAAGATGTCAGATGCTCAGGGCAGCTACAAACTGGATGAAGCTCAGGCTGTTCTGAGAGAAACAAAAGCCATCAAAAAGGCCATCACCTGTGGAGAAAAGGAAAAGCAAGATCTCATTAAGGTACAAGACCTCCCAGTGGTGAGGGCCCCATCCCAGTTTCTCCCGGGCACCTTTCTGTGCCCAGCAGGACTCAGGTGGGCTGTTTCCATGTCCTGCCAGATCCCTGAGTTCTCTTCTGTAGTTCTCTTGGGCTTTTAGTCTCATTTTATAGAGAAGAGAATGGAGGTTCAGAAGCATGAAGTGACTTGCCTAAGGTCACACAGCCAGTGTCAGTGGCAGAGCCAGAACAGAAGCCCTCTGGTCTAGTTTAAAGGTCACATCCTGGCCACCAGCTCTAGCCGTCTGGTTTACAGAACCAAATGGCGGGAGCTGGCTTCAACATCGCTAACCTTGGTATCAAAATGTAGCATCCTTGTAAGCATTTCATTGCGTGTTCCGACTCTGTGCTGGGAACTGACAAATGGTAATAGCGGTGATGTACTGTGCCAGGCAGCTGTGCCAACCTCTTGGCCAACACTGTGCCTCGCTTTCCCCTTATATCAGTGCTAGATTATCCCCAGCATACAGCAAAAGACTGCACAGATCAGAGAGTAGGCACTAGAGCCAAGATTCAACCCCATCAACACCTAACTCAGAAGCCCATGCTCTTAACCACTGTACATCCCACCCACCCTCAGCGGAACTGCCTGGACCTCTGAGATATTCTATTTTCGGTCCCATGGGCAGATGAGCAATTAAGCTCAGGGTGTTGTAAATAACTTGATGAGGGAAGCTTTACACTCTGTGACAAACAGAATAATTTCAAAGCCCCTACCAGGACCGCAGCCCAGCACAAACACTGAAACCAGGCGTTAGTGGACAGTGAGGCATGTTCCATTCATGCTTAGCAGTCAAGCCTGCCAAGCCTTAAGTCAGACAGACCAGGGCAAATCCTGGCTCTTTCAGTTGCCAGCTTCTCCAGGTAACAGCTCCCTCATGGATAAAATGGGGGTGCACACGTGCCTGCTCAGTCACTTCAGTTGTGTCCAACTCTTTGTAACCCTATGGACTGTAGCCCACCAGGCTCCTCTGTCCATGGGATTCTCTAAAGCGGGTTGCCATGCCCTTCTCCAGGGATTCTTCCTGACCCAGGGCTCAAACCCGGGCTTCCTGCGGCTCCTGCACTGCCAGCAGATTCTTTACCACTGAGCCACCACCGGGGAAGCCCCAAATGGGGATCATCACAGGTTATTCCTTCTAAGATTGCAGTCAGGATTAAATGAGATCATGGTAAAAGCAAGAGTTATTAAGTATTGACTAAACCAGTGCTTTACACTGGTCATCTTGTCTGAACAATATGAAAGTCAATATGATCGCCCTATGAGATAGGACCCATGGTTATTCCCATTTTGCAGGAAAACAAACTGAGGCACAGAGAGGTTAATTAAGGTCAGAGCACACAGCTAGAAGTGGCAGAGCAGGAGATCCCGACTCAGGCCGCGCAGCTCCGAAGCCATTGTCCACACTGGTTTCTCCCCTGTAAGGGGCCCAGCACAGTGCCTGGCACCTAGTTGATCCCCACCCACTGGTAGCTCTTTACAGGAGAAGTGGGGTGTCAGGACCCCCAGTAGATTCCTAGAGAGGCAGACCCAGAGCACCCTCCATGGAGGGGGTGTTGCTAAGCCTGCCCTCCCCGCTCCAGAGCCTCGCCATGCTGAAGGACGGCTTCCGCACCGACAGAGGCTCCCACTCCGACCTGTGGTCCAGCAACAGCTCCCTGGAGAGTTCGGGTTTCCCACTGCCGAAACAGTACCTGGACGTGAGCTCCCAGACGGACATCTCAGGAGGCGTGAGTACACGGCACATGCCACCGGGGCTCCGAGAGACAGAGTACCCTTCTTGTTACTCGCCCAAGGAGCTGGCCGGGGCTCTCTCTGAGCCTGGGTGCTGCCCCAGCCTTCTAGAGCATGTTCTCTTGCAGCCCTCATGGCCTTCTGATGACATGAGATGACGACGTGGAGGGGTAGCCAACCCTGACTTGCTGGTCACAGGAATGCATCTCTAGATGCTGCACAGAAAGCATGTTTGAAGGACCAGGGGTCTTTCTCAGGTTTTCCTTGTGCTGATTAGCAGTGCCATTCTGTTTCCCTCTCACCAGCTGAGAGGCAGAAGATAGTTCCCTCCTGTTCACCCCAGAGCAATGCATGTGGCTTTCAGACAGCTGCTCGCCTCCCAGTTCAAAAGCTCAGCGCTGGTTAGAGTAATGAATAGCACAAGTGCTGTCCAGACATGGCTTCTGAAAGCCTCAGAGCAGGACTGACCCACGGCAATCCGTAGCTTAGAAGAGCTTTCGTTTTCTTGGAGCAGGTGACATGGAGTGAACGAGGCTCCACGGCTAAATGCTCTTCTATGTGGTTTCTACAGTCCTGTTCCCACTTGTGAGGAGAAGCTCCATTCATGTCTGATGGGGTGAGCCTCATAGTTCTTGACAAATTGGCATGGCCAGTGGGGCTGCCCCCTCCATCCTCACACCACCCATTGTCCAGCTACAGGCCACCTGTGGTGAAGGAACCGTGTGCCTTCTTCCAAGTTCTAGGACCTTCTTGTCACTGGGTGTTGCACTGCTGACTGCAGGCTCCCTGAGTATGGTGGAACTCTCCCCAGCGGGCCCAGGGTGGCTTTCTTGTGTGGTGACGGTGCCCGTTTCCTCCTGGCCAGCTGGCCACCACACTCCTACGACCTGAATGAGCTCCAAGCCTTTTGGGGCTGCAAGATGATATTCTGAGCCCCAGGCTTCTCTTCTCGAACTAATAAATGTGTGCTTTGGGGGCTCTTCCCATGCCTGAAGGAAAGAAAATGTTTTTCTCCTAACTAGCTTCCCTGCGATTCACCCAGCCAGCTCAATAATGGGATACTATTTTTAGCTCCTTCCCACATAAGCTGTCAAGTCTCTCAGGAGCCCCCGAAACCCAGCTCAGCCCTGGCCACCACTCCCATGTAATTCCTGACCTGTTCTTTCCTCCAGTTCGGTACCAGCAGCAACAATCAGCTGGCGGAGAAGGTCAGATTGCGCCTTCGATACGAAGAGGCCAAGAGAAGGTAATTAGAGGCTGGGGCCTGGGGGCAGGATGGTCCCACAATAATAACTGGTTGGCCAAAATGTTTGTTCAGGTTTTTCTGTAAGTACTTAAAATCCAAAACACTTTCTGGCCAACCCAGTACTATTGTAGCGTGTCTGCTCTGTGCCTGCTTTTTACACACTTCATGAGGTTTAATCCTCACAAAGATTGTGAAGGTGAGTATTATCATCTTCATACTTTAGTCTTCTCTGAAATTCTGGGAATGACTGAACCAGGGACGCTTAGATAAAGAGTGCAACTATGCTTTGAACCATACTTTAAACCTCAAACCTAGTAATCTTTCCACTTGCCTGCCTAAAAATCAACCTCTAAAATCAAGGCTTACCAACAATCATGTAAATAGTTGTGTGTGAAAGAGCACACCTGGGGTTTTAGCAACAGGCTAGAAACACTGCTGATACCACCCACTTCAGTGTCTCCTGCCCAACTGGGAACAAGCTGTGTTTTTAAACTGTGTAGACACCAGGGACTTTAGCTATTCTGTGACTTCACAGAACCCTAGGCAGTTCAGTTCCACTACCGCAAATAAAATAGTAATCAAAGCTGATGTTCTTAGAGAATCTGTAACGGTCCAGACAGTGTGCTAAAACATCTGTATATTCATCGTCTCACTTAATTTTGAAAGCAACCTTATAGCATAGCTTCTCTCATGTTCTCTCCATGTTAAGAGACAAGTAAGATCTAAGATGTTTCATGACTTTTCAAGGTAGATTCAGAATTTGAACTGGACAGTCCATGGTCTTCCTATACACTGAGCCTATATTTCTAAGAAAAAACTCTCAAGGTCTGATGGTAAATGAAACCAAGTACATTGCATCCATTCCTCCTTAGGCTACATTGCCCAGCCCATGAACATTCTAAGTCAGGCCAGGGAGAGTGTGGCAGTACCCAGCCCTGCCCCTCTGCCAACAAGTGAGCAGCAGAAGCCCTTGGCAGCAATGACAGGAATCCTATAGAAACTGGAAGCAAGAAAGGGGATTCATAGGCTTATTGAACTCCAAAGTGCAGGGGTAATCTAGCTTCAGGCACAGCTGGATCCAGAGTTTCAAATGATGTCACATAAACTCAATCTCCTTTTCTCCTTCCTGCTTGCCTTTGTGTTGACAGGTTTTTCTGTCAAAGCAAAAAATGACCGCTGTTCTTCTAGACTTACATACTGCCAGGCTAGCAATCCCAGCAGAAATAGGGCCTACCTTCCCCATACAGTTTTACAAAGCTTTGGGCTTGAGACTCATTGGCTTTTCTGGGAGAGCCAGTCATTGTTGCAGGGTGGGAGGAATTGGAATTCTCTGAAGGTCCAGACATGAGTCACATGCCCGACTATAGGAAGGGGACTGAGGTCAGCTCTGTGGGAACCAAGTGACCTGAAAGTGTAAGAGGACATTTCAATTTCCCAAAGAAAACTTGGAATACTGTTAACGAAAGAAGCAGAAAGTGGATACTGTTCAGGTGGAGGAAAACACAGCCTGTGCACTATTTCAGCTCCCCCTAGAGATCCAGCAGAACAGCATGACTTCTGCTTAGGACAACCACTTCTTGGTCCCTCTGAACTCTGTATATATTCCAGTTTGCAGTGGTGGCTATCTTAGATGATCAGTTATGGAGACATGAAAGGGCTGGAATCTTTCCTTTAGGGTTGTACCACTAAACTTCTCACTACAGAGCCTTTGACTCATCTACCTTTATCCAACATTGTGCCTCCTCTTTCACCTAAAAGTAGTTTAAGGACAAAGAATAAAGTAGCCTGCTGAATGGGGAAGCAAAGGCTGTGTGGCTTGAGGCAGGGAGGGTAGGTGGCTGTGACGCAAGGTCTGATTGTTGCCAAGTTTGGTCACGTGTGCCTTTCTTGGGAGTGAGTCTAGCAGATTTCTTCAGATTCTCCTAAGGATGTGTGGCCCATTATTAAGGAGCGCTGACACAGGGAAAGCACCACCAGAAAGTACATTCAAGAAAACTTCAATTAGCGACCTAAAAGGGAAGAAAATTTTTAAAAAAACAGAGGATATGTGTATATGTATAGTTGATTCATTTTTCTATGCAGCAGAAACTAATGCCACATTGTAAAGCAACTATCCTGAAATTAAAAAAAAAATTTTTTTAAGGACTTTTCCGGTGGTCCAGTGGTTAGGACTTTGTCTTTCCAATGCTTTGGGTGCAGATTTGATCCCTGGCTGGGGAGCTAAGACCCCACATGCCTCTTGGCCAAAAGATAAAACCTAAAACAGAAGCAATATTATAAAAAAAAATTCAATAAAGACTTTTAAAATATGTTTTAAAAAGATATGGAGATTGACCCTGGTGGATCTAGGACAAAAAAAAAAAGAAGCATCAGTCACCGCTTCAATGCCCCATGTATAGTAAAGTGTCCCCACCCCATGACTTGGCCACACCACCCTATTCGCAAGCAATTGGCTGGGTAACAGCTACAGTTATCCCAAAGCCGGCTTTGGTGGACTGCTGTATATGTGAGTATGGGGTTAAGATTAATTCACTCTAAGAGTCCCTGCTGAGGCACTTGGCTGGGAAGGAGCAAATGGAGATGTGGTTCTCCGTGTGAATTTCTCACTACACAGCCTGGAGGTCTCATCTCCAGCAGTGTTTTTGGTAAAATAAGAATTTGACCACATGGTTTGCAGGTAAGATTAAACTGAGGGTCTGGAGGCCTGGGTCCCCAACAAATACTGGTCATTTGTATGACCTTGCAGTCTTAGGGGAACCGTATCCTCTCTGGCTACCTGTCCCATAGGATTACCGCCAGGTCCTGTCCACCCCAGGGTAGGAGAGTGAAGGGGCTTCCCTGGTGGCTCAGATGGTAAAGAATCCACCTGCAATGCGGGAGGCCTGGGTTCAATCCCTGGGTGGGGAAGATCTCCCTAGAGAAGAGGAAGGCAACCCACTCTAGTATTCTTACCTGGAGACTCCCATGGACAGAGGAGCCTGGTAGTGATAGCTATTAATAAAAATACACATGATTGTTTTTAAGTATTTGTAGCAATAATCTTAGCAATACTGTGAATTTTAATTTGATCCAATAATAATCATACCAAATATCTATGTAGCACTTGGCCTTGTATAAAGAGCTCTTTTTTTCTTTTTTAAGTCTTCTTTAAAGTAATGGATTGTTCCAATTTTTTGAAAAATATATTAATTTTAAAAGGGTTCACTTACATCTATGTAAAGAGCTCTTAATGATATGTTTTCATTTGGTCCTCACAACTCACCTTGCAGGTACCAGTATCATCCCCACCAGATGAAGACGCATGCGTGTGTGCTAAGTCGTTTCAGTCGTGTCTGACTCTTTGTGACCCCATGGACTGTAGCCCATCAGCCTCCTCTATCCCTGGGATTCTCCAGGCAAGAATACTGGAGTGGGTGCCATGCCCTCCTCCAGGGGGTCTTCCCCACCCAGGGAGTGAACCTGTGTCTCTCAGGTCTCTTGCATTGGCAGGCAGGTTCCTTACCACTCGGGAAGCCCACAGATGAGGATACTGAGTCTCAAAGCAGTAAAGGGCTCCCAGCTCCTTCCCATAACACTTCTTAATGGCCTGCGGTGTACCAGGCACTGAGCTAGGAGCTTGCGTTACCTAAATGATTTCTTAAGAAGGTCAGAGCCAAGACTCTAACAGGCAGCCTCTGACCTCAAGTCTGCAATTGTTCACAGGGTGCTTGGACTGAGACTCTGGACTGAGAACAGCAGGGTAGCAACAGCAGTATTTGCTGTCAGCATAGTGGGCCCGAAACTGCCATTGGCTCAGCACTTACGTGCCAGACATACAGAATATATAATTGCTCATTTTCACACCAATTCTGATGCAGAAGTAACTGTTTTCTTCTATGCGAGGCTCAGAGAGTGTGCCTCACATTACACACATGAGAAGTGGTTAAATCAGGGAACGAGCGCAGTAGCAGCAGAAACATTCATTGAGTGCTGGTTTAATATGTGCCAAATATTGCGCTTGGACATTTTATGAATTATGTCCTAAAACCTGCAACCGTTACCCCACAAGGAAGGAGGTTTTGTTATCCCCTGCAGAGTGACGAAGCAACTTGCCCAAGGTCACATAGCTAGCAGCAGGAGGCTACTGCCTGGTGACGGAGCCTCTTCTGTTCTATCAGGCTTCGTGTCCCTCAGGGCAAGGACACTGCCTCTACCCGCCTCCCTGCTGAGCCAGAATTGGCAGGTGGTAGGCACCACGTGTGTTTGTTAGATAAAAATCTGTTCCTGGAGACCACACACTGATCAAAAGGAAGCCAGTCAGGGTCAAAGAGGATGCTCTGAGAACGGCAGTGCTCCTCGGGCCGTGTAACCTTGGTGACACAGTCTGTCCCGCTGCTCCTGGGTTGCCACTGAACACACCGGTCAATGCTCACCCTCTCGGCCCGCAGGATCGCCAACCTGAAGATCCAGCTCGCCAAGCTCGACAGCGAGGCCTGGCCTGGAGTACTCGACTCCGAGAGGGACCGACTGATCCTCATCAACGAGAAGGAGGAGCTGCTGAAGGAGATGCGCTTCATCAGCCCCCGGAAGTGGACCCAAGGGGAGGTGGAGCAGCTGGAGATGGCTCGCAAGCGGCTGGAGAAGGACCTGCAGGCAGCCCGGGACACCCAGAGCAAGGCGCTGACCGAGAGGTGGGGCTGGGCTGGGGGCATGGGGCCCCTCCCTGCTGCTGTCATCCTCCAGCCCCGCATCGAGAGGGACAACCTGGGACGCCGGGGCCTCCACTCTGAGAGCACAGTTTAGAGAGCTCATTACTTTCCAGAATAGCAAATCTAGGGAAGTGACTCACCAGCCAACCATCCCAAAATTTTACCAGAGGGAATCACATTACCCAAACGTCTGCTCACATGCAGATTTTCAGAAATTCTCTTCTGAGATAAGCTCTATGTAATTTAGAGCAGTTGTTCTCCAGCTTTGTGTCAGTGACTCACATGTTATTACCTAATAGACAAAAGTTTCATGAAACAGTGCGTAGTCTTTCTGTGTGACAGTCCTCTGATAGTTTCTTTTATATTGCGTCTCTCTTCACACTGGTCGTGGCCCACTAAATTGGTTTTGCCACGTGCTAAGAAATTGCAATTTGCAGTTTGAAAAACACTGGTTTAAATGGGCTTGCAAACTGAGATGCTTATAGGGGTCAAGCAGGTGATATAAAGGCCAGGGGCCACTTGGCCATGGGCCATGTTAGACTGCAGTGCACAGACCCCAGGTACTGTCTGCAGCCTCCAGGAAGTGAGTACAGACTCCAGGCTGCTAGAGGCCCCATTTTTCAAGAAAAGAGTTCTTTTCATTTTTTTTTTTAATATTGGCAACTAATCAAAAAAAATTTTTAATACCCTAGAGGCTAAATTAGCTTCATCTGTGGGCTTGATTTAACATGAAAGCCACTGGTTTACATTCTCCGGTTTAGACTGTATAGTGATAGTCGCTCAGTCGTGTCTGACTCTTTGTGACCCCATAGACAGTCCATGGAATTCTCCAGGCCAGAATACTGGAGTGGGTAGCCAGCCTTTCCCTTCTCCAGGGGATCTTCCCAATCCAGGGTCAAACCCAAGCCTCCTGCATTGCAAGAAGATTCTTTACCATCTGAGCCACAATAGACTTTAATCCTTTAGTGTCTCACCAGCCTCCACACCCACACTACACAGAGCACATCTCTGTGTTCACAGAGTCCTACAGTTGGTCCTTCAACCCCCAGCTTCTCCATTCATGCAAGAGACGTTTTGTGGCACATATTTTGCATGCAAGGCAATTTGGAGGATTCAGAAGTGAATAGGTCATGATCTCTGCTCTGATACTCTTAAAGTGTATTCAGTTATTTTCACTTTTTTTTTTGGCAGCAGACTTTATTGGACAAAGTCCCTGCCCTTAATCTCATGGACAGAGGAGCCTGTTGTTTAGTTGCTCAGTCATGTCCAATGTTTTGCCACCCCATGGAATGGACCGTAGCACACCAGGCTTCCCCGTCCTTTACCATCTCCCAGAGCTTGCTAAAAATCATGTCCATTGAGTTGGTGACGTCATCCAACTGTCTCGTCCTCTGTCATCCCCTTCTCCTCCTGCCTTCAGTCTTTCTCTGCATCAAGGTCTTTTCTAATGAGTCAGCTGTTTGCATCAGGTGGCCAAAGTATTGGAGGTTCAGCTTGAGCATCAGTCCTTCAAGTGAATATTCAGGAATGAATAGTCCTTCCAATGAATATTCAGGAATATGCAGCATCAGTCCTCCCAATGAATATTCAGAGGAGCCTGGCAAGCTACAGTTAGCAAGAGTCAGACATGTCTTAGTGACTAAACCAGCCCCACCGCCTGCCCTTAAGGAACTACAATTGAAGATGTGTTGTGCTTAGTCACTCAGTCGTGTCCGACTCTTTGCGACCCCATGGACAGTAGCCCACCAGGCTCCTCTATCCATGGGTTTCTCCAGGCAAGAATACTGGAGTGGGTTGCCATGCCTTCCTCCAGGGGATCTTCCCAACCCAGGGATCGAACCCAGGTCTCCCGCATTGCAGGGAGATTCTTTACTGTCTGAGCCAGCAGGGAAGCCCAGAATTGAAGACAGTGATTTTCAAACTTGTTGTGGGGTAGGCCTAGGCACGAGGGGAAGGGATGAGCAGGGGCATTCCTCTTTCCAGTGTAATCAGGGAGAAGCCCAGTGTATAAAGCAGATGAAGCTGTCTGGGCCAGCAGCAGGCCAGGTGTCCTAGGTGCCCGGGTGTGCTCTCTGCATGGGGGCGAAGATGTTTTCAGGGAGCCTCCCCTGTGCTAAAGCATCCTGCTGGTAACTGAGTGAGCTCTGTCTGCATATGGCAGGGTGCCAGATGGGTCAAGTTGACCGCCTCTGCCTGGCCTCCTGTAAGCACATCAAAGAGCCCATTGACTGTCAGTGGTGGGAAACCTTTCCCCACCCAGCCCCTTGTCAGAACTATTCACAGGGATGTGTCACTTTTCTCGCCTTTTCCTTCTCCTGGAAGGAGTGGCTGATTGCTGACACACCACCAGGCAGGTGGGAGAAGGAGGAAAGGGCTTCAGTAACGGGTGGTTTATAGCCCCAGGAAGCGCCTTCTAGAAATCTCCTTTAGTGCCAAGACCCTGTCCTCCTTTCCCCACGGCTGTGCAGCTTGGGGACAAGGCCTATGACAAGACACCTTTTTGCCTTTAGTGTCATTTGAAAGAATAAATGGTTAGCCAACCTGAGCAGACCCTTACCAGCCTCTGCATGTATCTCCTGATGTGTCTGCTGGTCCTCTGGGCTCCTGACTTGCTCCCAGGCCCTACAGCTATCACTGGGAAGCCCTCAGCTATTCATCATGCTCACAGCCAGCAGCTGAAAAGAACAGATCCATGACAGCCTTACTCCTTTGTGGGTCAGTAGAAATACCCTTCCTACCACTGACCTTCAGCAAGTCATTGACCATATGGACTTCAACTGCCTAATGGGGGGGAGAGGGGACAAGATAATTACATTATATACAAATATTTATATATTCTGAAGGCTGGTGGTTAGACCAGATTGTGAACTGATGCTCTTCTCTAATAATTTCAGTTTCTTGAAACTAGGATTGGATATACTCTTAGAAGTCCCTAAAGTAAAGTGTTAGTCGCTCAGTCATGTCTGACTGACTGTGATCCTATAGCCTGTTGCCTGCCAGGCTCCTCTGTCCATGGGTTTCTCCAGGCAAGAATACTGGAGTAGGTTGCCATGCCTGCCTTCAGGGGATCTTCCCAACCCAGGGATCGAACCTGCGTCTTAAGAGTCTCCTGCATTGACAGGTGGGTTCTTGGCCACTAACGCCACCTGGGAAGCCTATACTACATGAAAAGGAACCATTATGTACCAGATTCTGTAACATCATCTCATCTAAGCCTCCCAGCAACCTTGAGATTCATCTTCATTTCATAGGTGAGGAAGCTGAGGCTCACCCAATATCACTGAGACACAGAGCGGGGATTACTCCCCAGGCTGCTGCCCACTTAGAAGACCTTTTATTGTTGCTTTCAGTGTCACCTTTCAAAGGTCTCATTGCTCTCCTAGAACAGTAAGTTCACACAGCCCATTCAGGGAAGCCAGAACCTCCAATCCATGGCAGCTGCTGAGGAGGCGACTTGAGGTCCCAGAGGGCAGGATCCCCTGGGTCACACAGAGAGAAGCCAGGGGAAAGCCGTGGGAAGGACAGGACTGATGGCTTGAGCCCCTGCAGGAGAGAGAGGAGAAAGCCCACCCATAAGTCTTCATCTGTGTTCTTTGCCTCCAGCCCTCTGACTGTCTGTGTTCATCTTCTGACTCTCTTGTTCTCTATCTAGGTTTCTTTCTCTTTTTTTTTCTCAGGCATGTATGCTCAGTTGCTAAATTCGTGTCCGACTCTTTGCAACCCCGTGGACTGTAATCCACCAGGCTCCTCTGTCCATAGAATTTTCTAGGCAAGAATACTGGAATGGGTCGCCATTTCCTTCTCCAGGGGATCTTCCCTACCTGGGGATTGAACCCATGTCTCTTATGTTTCCTGCACTGGATTCTTTACCACTGAGCCTCTAGGGAAGCCATGCTCCATTCCACTCTTCTCTCTCTCTACGTGGGACAGAGCAGACTTCCCAGTGGCTAAGACTCTGGGCTCCCAGTACAGGGACCCTGGTTCGATCCCTGGTCAGGGAACTAGATCCCACATGCCACAACTAAGAGTTTGGATGCCGCAACAAAGATTGAAGATCCCACATGCCACAACTAAGGCTGGGCACAGCCAAGTAAATTAAATAAATTAATTTTTTAAAAAAAGTGGGACAGAGGATGAGATGGTTGGATGGCATCACTGACTCAGTGACATGAGTTGAGTGAATTCTGGCAGATAGTGAAGGATGGGGAGGTCTGGTGTGCTGCAGTCCATGGGATCACAAAGAGTCATACACGACTTATCAGCTGACCAACAACAGTTGTACTCCTAACCCGCACACAGCAGCCTCTCTGTTCAAGATGGCTTTTATTAGGCCAGAAAGAGACACATCCAGGAACAACACACCACAGGGCCTGCCAAACCCCAATCAGGAATCAGTGAGAAGCACAACCCTCCCCCCAACACCCCCTGTCCTACCCCCTACCCCCCCCTCCCTTCCTGTGGACCCTCCCCAGCACTTCAGAGAGCTGCAGTGCCTGTTAGAGTGGGGTCTCTGCCCCCACCCCAAGGACCACCTCCTAGACCTGAGACGCAGCCCAGGCTCTTGCATTTTTAACCAGCACCCCACGTGCTGAGCTGCAGCTTGTGGGGATTCCAGCCCCACCCCCTGGGTCCTCTGCGTGCTTCCACGCTTGGTGTGTCCTTGGCCTCCCAGCATGTGCCAGGCATCACACGCAAACGCCATATGGCCACCGGAGCCCATTGCCTCTGGGAGGTGGCCTCAGCACCTGCATGCTGTTACTGGTGGCAAAACCCCTGTGCTTAAGAAGTTAAGGCCACCTGGCTCCCAGTCCCCTAAGCCTCCGGTTGGGCCTCCGGGGCGGGGGGGTGGCGGAACTGCGTTTACTCCTAGTGCATGTGCTGTGATCTCCTCCCAGAGGAGAGGAAAACGAAGGTAGAAATGGTGACCCCCAGCTGTGCCTTGGCACCCCTCCCCCCACCACCCCCCAGATCTCACACCCTTTCAAGGTCTCGCTCTTATAGAGGGTCACATTCCACAGTTCTGTCCAATCCATTGAAAACTGGGCTTTTGTTCATTACTGGCTCCATCTGCTGGCCTGCTGTCTGCCCCCAGCCCCAGGCAGGACTCTGGAATAACAGCGCCAGGGGTTGAACTGGCCAAGAACCGTGCCGAGGCCACTACGCCCGCTGTTCCCATGGTCTTTTCTGAAATTTCACAAGACCAGCTCCCCAGTGACAGATCCTGCCCATCTCTCATCACCCTCCACTTGTGTCTCTGGTCTTCACGGCAGGGCCTGTGTTGGGGGCCTTGGGCGTGTCGGTGGAGGGGTGGCACGGTTAGCTTTTCCGTGGGAATGACTCTTTCTCCCAGGCCCCAGGCTGGATTGGCTGTGCTTTGGGAGCAATGAGTCAGTCATTCCTCGTCCAGTAGGATGGCATAAGGGGATATGAAGATCTGTCCGTGGGAGATTAATTTTTTGTTTTATTTTTTACTTTCTGGCTGGGCTAGGTCTGGCTTTCTCTAGTTGCAGCGAGCAGGGGCTACTGTCCGTTGTGGCTTCTCTTTGCTCTCGTTGCAGAGCACGGGCTCAGTGGTTGTAGCGCACGGACTCCGCTGCTCTGCAGCATGTAGCATCTTCACAGACCTGTGACCCCTACATTGGCAGGTGGCTCCTTAACCTCTGGGCCACCGGAGGAATCCCAAGGGCGATTGAACATCTGGGTCTTTTCAGGAGAGCAAAGGAGCTTTCCCTGTGTCAACTGGGGAGGCGTCTTCCCTTCAGTGATGCCTTTTCAAACTCGTCCATGTGGTGGGCACCGTGCTCGGGGCTGGGAGAGCAAGGCACAGCTCCTGACTTAAAATACTAAGCCAGTGAAGCAACTTGGAAACCGCTATGTGCCAAAAAGTCACCTGGGATAGGTAATAACGATGCAGATTCCAGGGAATTCCCTGGTGGGCCAGTGCTTAGGACTTGGCACTTTCCCTGCTAAGGCGTGGGTTCAATCCCTGGTCAGGGAACTAAGATCCCACATGCTGAGTGGCATGACCCCCCCAAAAAAAGAGAGATGCATGTTCCTGAGCCCAAGAGTTCCCTGACTGTTCAATGGTTAGGTCTCCAAGCTTTCACTGCTAAAAGGGTCTGGGTTTGATCCCTGGTCAGGAAACTAAAATCCCACAAGCTGCACTGTACCAGCCAAAAAATAAAAATAAATAAAAGCCCAAGGATTTTTCCCTCAGGAAGGGAGTTGCAGAACTGAGCATTGCTTTCGGCATGCCTGCGTGCAGGCCTTTGCTCCCAGGCTCTGCGATGCTCCATCACACTCACCAGGATCTTCCCCAGGCACTCTGGAACCATTCTCTCCAGCTCCTTTGCTGACTGCTTCTTGCCTGTTCAGCCTTGAGATGCTGTTTAGACTCAGAGCTTGGTCATGGACCCTACCTTTTTTTGTTCCTTCTATATTTTGCCCTAAGATGGTACATTTGTTAGTTAAGGCTGCCAAACCAGCATACCACACACAGGGTGCCTTCAACAATGAAAATGTGTTAAATACTTCCTCAGAGTCCCGGAAGCCAGAAGTCCAAGGTCAAGGTGTTGGCAGGGTTGTTTCTTCTGAGGCCTCTCTCCTTGGCTTCTGGGTCTGCACATGGTCATCTACACATCTTCACGTGGTCGTCTCTCTCTCTGCACACCTGTGCACACCACAGGAAGGGATGGTTGGGTGGAGTCTTACCTCTGCCACTCACTCTCTAGCTTTAAGTAAACCATTTAGCTCGAAGAGCCTCAGGTTTCTCAGGTATAAAATGAGACAATAAAATTCTTACCAAGAAGGGTTACGTGTGCAAACGATTTAAGGCAATATCCGGGCTTCCCTGGTGGCTCCTTACTGAAGAATCCTGCAGGTGCAGGAGATGCAGGTTCAGTTCCTGAGAAAGAAAGTGGAGGAAATGGCAACCCACTCCAGTATTCTTGCCTGAGAAATCCCATGGGCAGAGACACCTAGTAGGCTACGGTCCATGGGGTCGCAAAGAGCTGGACACGACTTAGTGACTCAACAACAACAGCATAAGTTTCCTAGTCAGCCCCTGGTATAGAGCAGGCAATGCATATAGCAGTTACTATAAGATTGTACATAAAGACCATCTCTCTCCAAACATTATAGTATAATGCTCCCACAATGTTCCTCTGTGTGTGTGTGTGTGTGTGTGTGTGTGTGTGTGTAGGCCTGTGGACATCTTCATAAGTACATGCCTGTGATTCCTCTCTCAGGGAGATGGAGGCTGGATCCCCCCAGGGCTTCCGCCTCATGCCTTCTCTTGCTCCCTTCAGGTTGAAGTTAAACAGTAAGAGGAACCAGCTGGTGAGGGAGCTGGAGGAAGCCACCCGGCAGGTCGCGGCCCTGCACTCCCAGCTGAAGAGGTGAGTGGTGGGCAGTGGGGTAAGTGTTCCCCGGGGAATGGCCAGATGCACTTGAATGCACAGCAGGTCCATGGATGGCCCGGGGAGGCTTGTGCTGGGCCAGGTGTGGCCCAGGGCAGGGTCCTTCACCTCCCCACACCGCAGCCTCCTCGGCCCTTCTGACAGCTCACAGAAGGCCCCAGTCAGGTTCTAGTGAGTCTCGTTCACATCCCTCACCCCTGCCAGCCAACTTGCTTGACACAGAGCCAAGGCCCCGCTGGGCAGTGTGGCTGGCATTTTATCACAACATTCTGTTTTTATCAGATATTTTTATCAGTTGACAGGGCTTTTCAAATTACAGTTAGGATATAAAGGCTCCTTTTGAAGATAACTATGTTAATGTTTAAAAAGTGAGTTGATTTGGAAAAAAATATTAAGCCTCATTACTTGGCATTGGATTCAAATATGGAAAAATAGGAAAATGGAGTGCAGCTGGTGGAGGTTTGAAAAACAGGGATACAGAGGAGGAAGTGGACTCAGAAGGCAGCTGGCTTGGGTTCGAATCCCAACTCTGCCAGCTCCTGATTACACGGCCTTCTCCGGATATCCCCATCAGTGAAGCGGGGGTGCGTGGTCTGCCCTGGACCCCATCAGGGGGGTCCTGAGTGCTTTCCGGGGGAGCTTCCAGGCGGCCCACCCCCTCAGTGTCCTCCGCTCCCCCCCTACCCCAGCCTCTCCGGCAGCATGCAGAGCCTGTCCTCCGGCAGCAGTCCGGGGTCCCTCACATCCAGCCGGGGCTCCCTGGCGGCCTCCAGCCTGGACTCCTCCGCCTCGGCCAGCTTCACCGACCTCTACTATGACCCCTTCGAGCAACTGGACTCGGAGCTGCAGAACAAGGTGGAATTCCTGCTCCTGGAGGGGGCCACGGGCTTCCGGCCCTCCGGCTGCATCACCACCATCCACGAGGATGAAGTGGCCAAGACCCAGAGGGCGGAGGGGGGCAGCCGCCTGCAGGCCCTGCGCTCCCTGTCGGGCACTCCCAAGTCCATGACCTCGCTGTCCCCCCGCTCCTCACTCTCCTCCCCGTCCCCACCCTGCTCGCCTCTCATCGCTGACCCCCTCCTGGCTGGGGACGCCTTCCTAAGCAACCTGGAGTTTGAAGACCCCGAGCTGAGTGCCGCTCTCTGCGAGCTGAGCCTTGCCGGCAGCACACGGCAGAGATACCAGCTGGAGGAACCTGGCCTGGAGGGCAAGCCACTGGGCCAAGGTAGAGAGCGCCGCATCCCAGGAGGGAGGGAGGTGGGGACTGCGCTCAACAGGCCCGAGTTCCGACCCCAGTGATAATTGTGGAAGTTATGGGCAACAGTTACTGCTTTCTACGTGCCAGATCTGTTCACAGTGTATTGATTTATTCATTCATGCAGTAGGTATTTATTATGTGTTTACTGTCATCTAGATCCTGAGCAAAGGGTTTTTCCATGATGGGTTCATTCATGCAACAGATGTTAAGTACATATCGAAACTATGTCTTAATGGGTAGGCATGGATTCATTCATTCTTTCATTGGACAGATAGGCCATGTGGGTTAGTCACGAGGATACAGTGTAGAGGACAGACAAGGTCCTGGTTCCCATGAAGCCTGCATGCAAACAAAGGCACAAATAATAACTATACAAGCAGACCGGGGGAAGGCACTTAGGAGGAGAATAAAACAGGGTGTGATGGAGCCTTTCAGGTTGGGGTGGGGCTGCCATTTCAGGCTGGGTGGTGAAGGAAGGCGACATTTGAACTGTGACTTGAACAGTGAGAAAGAGCCAGCCTTCGAGAAGCAAGAGCAAAGTGTCTGAGGCTGAAACAGGGGCTGCAAGAGAGACCAGAGGGAGGGGGTCACCAACAAGGCAGAGAATCAGGCAGAGAACGAATTGTGTAAGGTAAAGAGTTTACATTTTATGCTAATTGCAGCAAGGATCCTTGTGATTGAAGCCAGGGAATGAAAAAAGATCACTCCTGTTATGAGGTCAAAAAGGGCATTGTAGTCTAGACTGAGATTCAGGTCAGAAGCTTCAAAGTAAAAGATGATGCCGATAATGACAGCTTAGGTTTATTAGAAAAATTTTCATCTGTAACAGCAACCACATAATAAATTATAATGGTGAATATTTATTGGGGTGCATTGGTGTGGCAGGCAATACGCCTGATATGGTGAAATAGGCTCCTTCTATTATACCCATTTCACAGATGGGGAGCCAGAGGCTCAGAGAGGTACTATCACTTGCCAACAGGTGGGGAAGGTGGGATTGGAATCTGGGTTTTTCTGACCCCAGTGCCCAACCTCTTTATCACCATGGTCCCCTTAGGACATGAGGCAGCTCTGTGTATTTATTCCTAAGATACCCTGACGCTTGCTGATGCCATCTCGCATATGGTATGAAAGTCAGGACTGAGCAGGATGGTTTATTGAGTTCAGGTGTACAAGATACAGGCACTGTTGCACATACTGATTCATGTAAACCTCAGAACAACACTATGAGGTGGGTATTGATTTTATCCTCATCTTACAGACTGAAAGGCGTGAGACTCGGTGCGGTTAAGTGACTTGTCTGAGGTCAGTGTCACTGCGCTAAGGCAGCAGAGTCAGGACTGGCCCCAGGACCACCTACCCAGAGCCCACAGTGAGCCAGGTGCCAGCAGTGTTGGCCAAGGTCTCCTGCTTCTGACTCCCATGAAGCCAGCTAGAAGCTCAACCCATCTCAGCTCCAGGAATGGGGGCGGGGGCAGCTGCAGCACCCAGGCATATCAGTTCCTTCATATACAAGGGCCACTGGGAGCAAGGGAGAAGCAACACGATTTCCTGGTTAATTAAAGGCTCTGCTGGGTGCATGCCAGCCACTTCCTTAGAAGAAGAGCTGGGAGATCCCTGGGGCTCCCTCATCAGGAAGGCAGTCTTGCCGAGTCCTCTCAAACAAAAATAAAAACAGGCTTCCTACTGCAGCAGGTGGAAAGCTTCAGAAAATTGTGCCCTGGAGAGGAGGGGGTGCAGGCAGAACCTCTAATGAGGCTCAAGAAGGGTTCCCGGTGCTCCCTGTCTAAAGGGCTGCGATCAGCTGGATCAGGGATGCTGAGACCCCAGTGGGGTGTGGGGAGCGACCCCTCCCCTAGACCCACCCCCATCCCACAGCATCAGTGCTTGGGAGCCAGGGGCCGCTCACGTCTCAGGACGTCGTTTCTTCATGGCATCTCCAGAAGCCTTGCCAGGCTGAGCTCAGACGCTAAGCAGGTTATGCGATTAGTGCCACTGTTCAGTCAGCAGACAAATTAATCTCCTTAAGTGGTTATGTGGAGGGTGGAGTGGGGTGGGTCTGAAGGCAGGAGGGCTCCAGGGCTGCAGATGTGGGATGCAGGCTGGGAAAGCCACGCCCAGATGGCCCCTTGGCCTCTGCCAGGCTCACGGTCACCATCCCCTAGCCCAGCCAGCGCCACCCCCCACCCCCCACCCCCACCTGTGTGCCTGGCACACAGCAGGTGCTCAGAAGTGCTGGCCCTGAGGTTGGAACACCTGAATCTGTCCTTCTTGTGCTGCGTGGAGGTCAGGAGCTGTCCTATTCATCTTGGCAGCTCTGAACTTGGCAGTGGCCCTGGCACACTCTCCGCGCCCATTACTTGGGGAGGGAAGGAACGTGCAGTGTGTGCTAAGTCTGAGTCCCGGGTCAGAGACTTCAGAGGGCCTCTGTCAAGGGCAGGGGAGATGAGCTGACTTAGGAGTGCAATGGGATAGGCAAGCAGGAGAGCCAGTGCTTAAATCCTTCTTCCCCTTTTTGTCCTCCCGCAAGGGCCCAGGGTCTGTGTTATTGTCCCAAGTGTGTAGGAATTGATCTGGAAAGCATCACTATAGTGATGGGAATGGTAGTCATAGTAACTAAGGATAGCAGTATGGGTTTCTAGAGCACTTCCCCTGCCCCAGTCTCTATACTAAGGACTTCCCTGTATCATCTTTTTGTGTCCTTCCAACAAAGTAGGTGTTATTATCTTCATTTTACAGATAGGGAATGCAAGGCCTAGAGGGAATAAATCAGCGTGCCAGAGTCATAAAGCAGTGTGTGATTTGAACCCAGGTGGTTTGCCTGTAGAGTCTGCGGTGTTAGACGCCACCCTTTCCTTCACCCCAAAACACACAGGACCTTTTTTTTTTCTTTATTAGTTGGAGGCTAATTACTTCACAACATTGCAGTGGGTTTTGTCATACATTGACATGAATCAGCAATGGAGTTACATGGATTCCCCATCCCAATCCCCCCTCCCACCTCCCTCTCCACCTGATTCCTCTGGGTCTTCCCAGTGCACCAGGCCCGAGCACTTGTCTCATGCATCCCACCTGGGCTGGTGATCACACACAGGACCTTGTGTAAAGGTCAGAGTTGTAGGATTTTGGTGGGACCATCTTAAAACGACAGGGGAGCCACAGTTACATGTTGGGATGACAGTATCCTGATTTCTGAAGACTGCCTTTTTCCCCTCTGTTCCTCCAGCTGTGAATACGGCTCAGGGGTGCTGCCTGAAAGTGGCCTGTGTCTCTGCTGCCGTGTCAGATGAATCCGTGGCTGGGGACAGTGGTGTGTATGAGGCTTCCGTGCAGAGGTGGGTCCCTGAGTCCTGGGCCTGCTCCGGTGTGTGGGAGGGACCTATAGGAGGGTGGGGGGCAGGAGATGTTTCACGTCTGGGAGACTGCCGGTTTCTCCAAGGGCCATCAAGGGACATGTGGCCAGGGGAGCAAGTATTGGGGAAAGAACAGCCCCCTTGAGAGAGGGATCTGGAGTCGCTCTGGGCAGGCAGGGTCCACAGGGAGGCTCAGCAGACACAAACCTGCTTCCTCAAGAATCTGCTGCTCCCTCCCAGAGAGAACCCTGTCTCTGGAAACTGACTTTGGCCCCAGGTCACTGCAGGCCAGCCTGACCCTCTCTCTCTGTCTTCCCCGTGTTGCCTTCCAGGCTGGGTGTCTCAGAAGCCGCTGCTTTCGACAGTGATGAATCAGAAGCAGTGGGTGCCACCCGGGTTCAGGTTGCCCTGAAGTAAGTGGCAGGGAGGGCGGGGCAGGGGGGCGCGGTCTGCACTGGGTGCCCTCCTCCCCCTTCTGCAGCGTGTCCAGCATTTACCCTCCTCCAGAACCAGCAGGCCCCGCTGACAGCTGTGGGCTCCTAACTAAAGGTGGGGGTCTCTTTCTGTGCCTCCCAGCTCCCCATTTCACAAAAGAGAAGACTTTGTACCTTGCCCAGTGTCACTGAGCTGGGCAGTGGCCAAGCCAGGCAGGGACCAAGACCGCCTGCTGCTTGATGTATTTGGTCATCATCGTTACTACAGCTTCTGTCTTATCATCTCATCTGGACTGAAGTCAACCCCTAGGGGGCTACAGCCTAGATTTCCTGTTATTGCTCATCTCTTGATGGGGAATGATCTTGATTATTTTTAAATAGGAATTCATTGCCTACATTTAGCTCTCAGGAAATTTTACACAACTTCTGGCTTCCCTTTAAAAAATCAGACCGACAGCTCTGGACCTGTGTCCCTGCATGGCCACAAACACTGGGTCTGTGATCTCCAGCTCACCATCATGGTCCCAGAGCAGTCGCAGCTCCATGATTAAGGGAGAGAGAGATAAATGGGTTACCAACAGGTGCTCTGTATGCCCCCTTTTCATTTCAGGTATGATGAGAAGAATAAGCAGTTTGCAATATTTATCATCCAGCTGAGCAACCTTTCTGCTTTGTTGCTGCAGCAAGACCAGAAAGTGTGAGTGTGTAGCTGACTGTGTATCATCCTCTCGCCCCCTACGCCCATCCCAGGGGACACTCTCCTTTCTGCCCTGCTCCGACCACGGGCCCCCTAGATGGCTGTGGGTGGTTAGTGCACATGAGCGTGGATGCAGGCAGGGTGGCAGACATGCTCAGTATAAAGAGGAGCGCCCCAGACAGCTTCCCATATGTGTCCTGAGCTCCAACCAGGTGCCAGCACTAAGAATGGGGTGGTGAGCAAACCCCTGTCCTTGTGAACTTGAAGCCTGGTGAAGGAGGAGCTCACAGCCCCTTTTGTTTGCTGGAAGCATTAGTGTTCCATGCAGAAAGAGCCAGGTCTGCCTTTCTCAAGAGCCAGTTCCCATCAGCGTGATTGTATGGGCAGGTCGTGATGGGTGTTAACCCTACCGCTGATAATACGGCAGAGACCTGCACTCTCAGCCTCTCTGCCCAGTGCAGACAGGTTTATGTTTCATTGAGCTCATCTGCCTCCATGCCCGCCCTTGCTAGACCGTAGACCTCGAGGGCAGCAGTATGAGCTTGTCTCTGTGGTCTCCACCCAGCCAGCACCTGGGGTGTGACATGTGGGAAGGAGGAAGGCAGGCCCGAAAGCAGGCAAAACAGAAGGCAGGTGAGACTGGACACACAGCGACTGGGGAAATGACAAACTCTTGTCCTCTGTGGTTTCCTGGGGGGTTTACAGCAGCCGTGTAGCCTCAGGCCTGAGCCCCCCACCCGGGCTGACCTGACACCAGCTGTCGTGCGTGCCTGCCCCTCTAGGAACATCCGAGCGGCTATCCTTCCGTGCTCCGAGAGCACCACCTGCCTGTTCCGGACCCGGCCCCTGGATGCCGCGGACACCCTGGTGTTCAACGAGGTGTTCTGGGTGTCCATGTCCTACCCAGCCCTTCACCAAAAGACCTTAAGAGTCGACGTCTGTACCACTGACAGGTGCCATCTGGAGGAGTGCCTGGTGAGAGCTCTGTCTGTCTGTCCAGGCTTCTGTCCTTCTTGATCCACCTTTGTACTTCAGGGAGAAGGCTTGGAGCAAACACAGCTTGCGGTATCAGCCCAGCTCTTCATGGGTTCTAGGCAGACTTATTGGGAGCAGGCAAGAGAGAGCAAGGAGCTCCTTTATCTGCCATGGAATTGCAGGGCCACATCCCTTCCTTGTGCCTGAAGCTGAGCCACCAGCCTTCCCCACCATGTGGCCTGAGATGTTTTAATTGCCTCAGTTTTCTTATCTGTAAAACCAGCTAACCCTGGCTACTTCATAGATGGTTCTCGGGAGACTGAAGTGCTAAACCAGTGCCCCTCGAGCTTTCATGTGCACACAGGTTACCTGGGCCTCTGGTTAAAATGCAGATTCTGATGCATCAAGTCTGGGCAGCAAGATTCTGTATTTCTCTCAAACTCGCAGGCAATGCCGGTGCTTCTGGTTCCCATAGCAAGGATGTGAAGACTTGAAGTGTCTGCACACACTGGTTCTCACTAGAAATCACTTCCCATCACCTTCCTGCTCAGCTGGCGTTCATAACAGCTTCATTGCCACTTATATTGTTGTTATCATTACTGGCAGTAACACAACAGCTTGTATTAATTGGATGCAGTTTATATGGGGGGCTCTGAACTGAACTCCCTACTTGTATTATTTCTGATGATCTTCCCTACAATCTTATAAACTAGGTACCATACTATTATACCAGTGGGGAAACTGAGGCACAAAGAACTTTCTCAAGGTCAGAACAGAGTTAGAATATAGGCAGGTCCACCCATGTCAGAACTTGGAGTTTTCTCTGGGCCAGCACGGTGCTCCTTGGAGGAACCCAATACATGAGATGGTGGCTCAAGGATTTGGCAAGCAGGGTGGGTGCTGCTGAAGGATGGAGCAGAAAGCTTTTCCAAATTCAGCCTCCAAGAAATTCCCCGGTAGCATAATGGTTACAATTCTGGGCTTTCACTGCCATGACCCAGGTTCAATCCCTGACTGGGGAACTGAGATCCTGCAAGATGCATGGCACGCCCAAAAATATACGTCTATATTTATTTCTATAATATTAATTTCTATTCTGTCCTTTAGGATTGAATAGAAATTAAATACAATATTAAAAAAAAAAAAAAAACAAATCCAGGCTCCTCCAGTGAAGCGTTTCCTCAGCCCCGAGCATTCCTAAATGAGAAGAGACTCAACCCTGTTTTATCCTCCTAATTGGATGCCTTTTATTCCTCCTTCCTAATTGAAGTCTGGCCACTGCTGGTTGCCATGGCAGCAGCCAAAGTGCTCATCCCACCGTGGCTTGTGTCCATCCATGGCCAGCCGGAAGCCTCCGTCTCCCATGTCCCATGGGGATGTGGAGTGTCAGGTTGTCGTTTTGGTGGCTGGAGGAGGCATGGAAGTGAGACGCGTGAAGTGAGGGCTGTCGGCTCCCGCACGCTGTCTCCCCGCACTGCTGAGCTGGTGGCATCCCTGGTCTGGTTTGAGCCACATAACCAGCCGGGCAAGGACAGTAGTACTCATCCTGAGCAGCGTCTGTGTGTCTAGTTTTGGGCTAAGAACTTTGAGTGCAGTATCTCATTTAATCCTCACAACAGGGAAGCAATATTAGCATTAGGTCCATTTGGCAGGTAAGGGATCAAGGCCCAGAAAGGCTAATTAACCAGCTCAGGTCATCCAGTAAGTAGGTAGAGAAGTCTGGATTTGAACACAGATTCCAACTTCCTTATGTCACCATCACCATCATCCTGTGTGTGATCAGTTGTTCAGTCAACTCCAACTCTTCGACCCCATGGACTGTAGGCTCCTCTGTTCGTGGAATTTCACAGGCAAGAATACTGAAGTGAGTGGCCATTTCCTTCTCTGGGCAATCTTCCCAACCCAGGAACCGGTGTCCCCTGCATTGGCAGATGGATTCTTTACCACTGTGCCACCTGCGAGCCATCACACTACCATACTGGATTATGGGTTTGGATGGAATATGTGTCTTGCCCTCCCCAATATCATGGGCAGCAGTTCCACAGTCACTTTATGGTGGTATCACAGGGTCACAGGCTTTCCAGCCAGGTGCTGGCTACTCACCCGTCAACTGTGCAGCTTCTGTGAAGGCGGCCCACTGCCCAGGCCCTCTCATACCCCAGAGCCAACCATCATAACCCTCCCTTGCTCCTTCTTCACTTTGCCATCCACACTTGGCCAAACCCCAGCCCTATCAAAGTGAACTCTCCCCTCCTTTCTGCCCACGCCATTGGAGGAAAACACTCCCAGCACCAAATTCTTATCCTCTCCTTTCTCCCCACCCCTACTCTCCCTCTGCGGAGGCCCTCGCTTTACACCCAATCCTGGAACCGTAGAAGGAACCAGAAGGGAGCCCCCACAGCTGCCCGCCACAGTTAGCTGTTCTCGCAGGCTCTGGTTCCTCCCGGAGCTCAGGGTGGGCCCTCCACACTCCCATCCATGGCCATCCTTGCTCAAGGTCGTCATGCCAGCCCTCACGCTTCTGCTCTGTCCTCTGTCTCCAATCTTCCCTCTCCCACTAGATTGAATCTCTCATGTATCATATGATATATGAATGTCTCCATATATATGTTGTTATTAATCCCATGCTGTAAAAAAAAAATTTTTTTTTACCCCATTTCTTCCTGCAGCTGCTACATTACTTCTTTTGTTTTCTCTGTAGCAACACGTGAATGAGGTGTGTGTGTTCTCTGTATATCTCAGACCACATGGGCTCTGGCCCTCATCGTTCCACCAAAATGTGCTCATCAAGGTCATCGGGGACCTCCTCGTTGCTAAATCCAGTGGCCAGCTCTCTCCATCCTCGAGTCTCTTGGCCTGTCTGCAGTGTTTGGATCAGTTGCTCACTCCATCTTCCTCGACATCCTTTATCCTGACTTGGCTTCCTGGACCGCTCGCTCTCTTGGCCACCTTCTCCCATCACTGGCTTCTCTGTCTGTCTGCTCTGTGGATTCTTGCTTATTTCCCTGACCTCTCCCCATCCAAGGGCCCCAGGGCTCAGGCCTTGCTCTCCTCCCTTTTTCTACTTGCATGCACTGCTTCATTGATCTTGTCCTATCCCCTGGCTTTCTTTTTTTTTTTTTTAACTTCTTTTTTTTTTTTTATGAACTTTTTTTTTTTTTTAACATTTATTTTTATTCATTTGGCTGCATAGAGTCTTAGTTGTGGCATGTGGGATCTAGTTCCCTGACCAGGGATCGAACCCAGCCCCCCTGTATCAGGAGCACAGTCTTAGCCACTGGACCACCAGGGAATTCCCTCCCCTGGCTTTCAAACACCATTCCATTTAGTGGCGCCATCCTGGCCCTCCCCACTCATCTCAGTGCTGTATGCCCGCTGTCTCTTCCATATCTTTTCTTGCATATCCAGTCAGCATCACCAGTCATGTGTCCACAGCACACCCTGAGCTTTCCTTCCATGTCTTCATTCTCAGCTGAAGGCAACCCTGTTCATTCTTGCATTGCCCAAGCCAGAGACCACAGGGTCATCTTGGACCCCTTTCTTCCTCTCGTACCCCACGTTCAGGAACTCCTAGCTCTGCCTTCAGAAGATCTCCAGATTCCAGCCACTTCTTCCATGCTCCTGACCACCACCATCTCTCACCCGATAGTTGCAGAATCCCCTACTGGGTCTCCCCGCTTCTGTTCTTGCCACCCTTCATCTCTTCCCAACACAGTCGCCAGGGTGATCCTATTAAATCGCAGATTACTCCATCCAGCCCTCTCCTTAAATCCTCAGGAAGGCTTCTGTCTCCACCCAGAGTCAACAGCTGAGCCTTGGCCTGCTCTCCCCAGGTCCTCTGAGGTCTGCTCCTTGTCATCTCTCAGATTTAATCCCTGAGACTCTTCCTCCAGCCTCCTTGTGCCCCTTGAATACCCCAGCACACCCCCTTCTCCGGCCTTTCTCACTGCTATCCTTTTCGAATGTAATTCTTTTCTTCTGGATATTGATGGGCAAAATCACCCTCTCGCCTCATTCTGTTCTTGACCCAGATGTCACCTTCTCCGTGAGGACTTCCTTCCACCCTACATAAAGTCACATTGCCCCTTCCACCCTCTTATCCCCACCTCTCCACTTTGCCTATATCATTTTCTCTGCAGCACTTTATATTACCTAATATTTCTCCATATCATAGGTATTAGGGCGCCTGTTATTTTCACATTTTTATCATCTCTAAAATCAAGATGCAGTGTGTACTAGCTGGCAGGCCATAGTCTAATTGGTAACTATTTTTCTTTCTTAGTGATACATGAAATAATAGTATACTCTATAATTGATGGCATCTTAGACTCTATGAGACACAATATAGAAGTTACTTACTGATTATCTGATTCCCCCAGAATGGAATATAAACTCAGGAGGGCAGGGATTTTTCTCTGCCTTAAATCCTCCTGTGTTCCCAACACACAGAACAGTGTCTGACACACAGAGGCAACTGGGTAGATGTGCATGTGTCAAATAAATGATTGGATGAATGCGTAGACACTGTCAAAGTGCATCCAGTTTACGAGGCAGACCCTTCACACCTGTGAGGCAGCCCCAAATAGTTGTTGTTGTTGTTCACTCAGTCGTGTCTGACTCTTCTGTGACCCCATGGACTGCAGCACGCCAGGCCTCTCTGTCCCTCACCATCTCCTGGAGCTTGCTCAAACCCATATCCATTGAGTCGGTGATGCCATCCAACCATCTCATCCTCTGTCATCCCCTTCTCCTCTTGCCTTCAGTCTTTTCCAGCTTCAGGGTCTTTTGTAATGAATTGGCTCTTCACATTAGGTGGCCAAAGTATTGGAGCTTCAGTATCAGTCCTTCCGATGAATGTTCAGAATTGATTTCCTTTACGATTGACTAGTTTGATCTCCTTACACTCCAAGGGATTCTCAAGAGTCTTCTCCACCACCACAGTTCAAAAGCATCAATTCTTTAGCACTCAGCCTTCTTTATGGTCCAACTCTCACATCCATACATGACTACTGAAAAACCCAGCTTTGACTATATGGACCTTTGTTGGCAAAGTAATATCTCTGCTTTTTAATACACTGTCTAGGTTTGTCAATAGCTTTTATTCCAAGGAGCAAAAGTCTTGTAATTTTGTGGCTGCAGTAGACTGTATCTTGTCAGAATTAGACTGTATCTTGTTGGACAGCTCTCTACATCAGTACCTAGAAATCTTCCTTATTTTTTGCACACAGCTATGTAATAACTGTATAGATATAGGTTATAGTTTATTCCCCTAGTCTCCTGTTGCTAGAGCTTTGAGTTGCTTTCCTTGACATCAGTCTTGGCAATTATCTTTCTCAACTCTAATACCAAAAGCAAAAAACAACATGTGTAGCTACCTCAAACTAAAAAGCTTCTGCATAGCAGAACTTTTTGTTTTGCATCAATAAAATGAAAAGGCAACCTACTGAATGGAAGAAAATATTTGCAAATTGTATATCTGATAAAGAGTTAATATCTAAACAACCCATGAAAGTAAAGTGTTAGTCACTCAGTCGTGTCTGACTCTTTTGCGACCCTATGGACTATAGCCCACCAGGGTCGTCTGTCCATGGGGATTCTCCAGGCAGAATACTGTAGTTAGTGCTCATTCCCTTCTCCAGGGGACCTTCCCAACCCAGAGTTCGAACCTGGGTCTCCCCCCATTGGAGGCAGATTTTTCACCATCTGAGCCATCAGAGAACCCATCCTTAAAATTAATATTTAAATAGATCTTAACCTATACAACTCGGTGAACAAATAAGGCGGTGAATGAGTGAGTTATTAGAAAACAATACCCAGCCATTTCTTCCTCCCAGGAAGCTTCTTTCTCACCTGGAGTGGTGTTTCACCTACTTTCCCCAGAATACCTTGTCACTCCCTGCTAATGCTCTTTTCTGTCCTCCACAGGGAGGCGCCCAGATCAGCCTGGCTGAGGTCTGCCGGTCCGGCGAGAGGTCGACTCGCTGGTACAACCTCCTAAGCTACAAATACTTGAAGAAAGAGAACCGGGAGCCCAGGCCAGCGGGAGCCACGGCCCCCATCCCCGGGCCTGAGAGCACGGTGAGCTGGGCCACAGCTGTGCACCCTTCTCCCATAAAAGGCAGCACCTGGTTGGCTGGAAGGGAAAGCCTCTCGCAGAGTTGGAGATGGCTGGACATCAGAGGGGTGTGTGTGTGTGTGTGTGTGTGTGTGTGTGTGAGTGTGTGTGTGCGCACGTGCGTCACTCAGTCACTCAGTGTCCGACTCTGCGCGACCCCATGGACTGTAGCCCACCAGGCTCCTCTGTCCATGGGATTCTCCAGGAAGAATACTGAAGTGGGTTGCCATTCCCTTCTCCAGGGGAATCTTCCTGAGCCAAGGTCTCCTGCACTGCAGGCAGATTTTTGTACCCTCTGGGCCAGCAGGGAAGCATGGACATCAGAGGTGGAGTAATTATTAGAGAAGAAACTGAGTCTCAGAGACGTTAAATAATTTCCTCAAGTCACACAGGCTTCCTCACCATGGACGCCACTCAGTGGGACCGTCTCCCTGGCTACTCAATAATCTCCTTATAGCTATAGACCTGTAATTCTGTCTCAAGCAAACACTAACCTCATCTTCCAAATTTTGTCCATGTATACAGAGGTTATTTTCAGTAGAACTGCCAGTTAGAAGAACTAGGGACCGTATTTCCAGTTGATGTAACCTTATGGCAAGACACCCTGGTCTTCAATTTTATCCTCCGTTCTCTGGGAGGGTGATAGGGTCTGATTCCGGCCCGGGAGGCTCTGCCTGCCATGCACAGAGGACTCATTGGCCTTTGTCTCCACAGGATGCCGTGTCTGCTCTGCTGGAACAGACAGCCGTGGAGCTGGAGAAGAGGCAGGAGGAGAGGAGCAGCACACAGACCCTGGAAGACAGCTGGTAAGTGAGGCTGCCCCTGGGAACTGACCTGGTTCGGATCTGAGCCCAGGGCTGAGATCCCCAGACACCAGGGCAACCAAGAGAAGTGTTCCCTTGTGAAAACAGATCCTTTCTCATGGCTTCTCTATAGGCAACAAGGCAATGTGTAGTCTGGTACAGTGTTTCCCAAGTCTCTTCCCAGTTTGTGATTTTGTGCTCTAGCAGTTATTCATACTGGTTCACATGTTAATGTTTATCATGATGCACTTACATTTATTTTGGTTCAAAAAAATTCCTAAGAAGCTTTATATTACTAGAAGTGGAAATAAGCACGAAAGTGAAACTCACTCAGTCGTGTCCAACTCTTTGCGACCCCATGGACTATATAGTCCTTGGAATTCTCCAGGCCAAAATACTGGAGTAGGTAGCCTGTTCCCTTCTCCAGGGGATCTTCCCAAACCAGGGATCAAACCCAGGTCTCCCACATTGCAGGCAGGTTCTTTACAAGTTGAGCCACAAGGAAGCCCAAGAATACTGGAGTGGGTAGCCTATCCCTTCTCCAACGGATCTTCCTGACCCAGGAATCAAACTGGGGTCTCTTGCATTCCAAGCAGATCCCTTACCAGCTGAGCCAGAAGGGAAGTGGAAATAAGTATAATTTGCCATAAATTGAAAATTCCTCAGTAAGGAATTGCAATTGACTGCTCGGAATAGGGAGCAGAAATAACAAACTTAAACAAGATAGAATTTTACTTCTTTATTACTTAAAAAAGAAGACTTGGAAAAAGGCAATCCAAGACTCATCTGTCAGCCCCATGATGTTACCGGGAACCCAGCCTCTTTTTCTTATTCTGCTTTGCTGTCCTTACTGTGTGACCTCCATCATCAAGGCTGCTAAGCACAGAATGGCTGCAGAGTCACCAGCCATCAGGCAGGCATCCGGAAAGAGGAAAGACAGCAGAGTCTCCATGAGTGCCTTTTAACCAACGAGCATTCCTGAAAGTCCCACCCAGCAATTTCCACTTGCTTTTCATGGGCTGAGCTTAGCTACCTGGCCTACCCAGTAGCTAAAGGAAGCTGGGAAATGAGGTCTCTTAGTTGGTATACAATTGAGGATTCTGTTACTAAGGAAGAATGTAGGAGCGGATATTGAGTAGGTCGTGAGCCAAGCCTGCCTTAGAAGATAACTGTGGAAGATTAAATGTAATAAAAATACAACAAGAATATTAAAATCTACCTGGATATATTGCTTGCCAAGTCTTCTAAGACTAAGATCTCTCCTACTGTTAAAAAGGAAGGTCATACATTCTCTACTTCTGTGTCTCTATTTCTGCTTTGCCAATAAGTTCATCTGTATAGACACAGACATAGAGAACAGATGCAAGGATACCAAGGAGGGAAGGAATGGGGGGATGAACTGGAAGTTTGGGATTGACATATATACACTACTGTGTATAAAGTGGATAACTAATGGGAAACTACTGTATAGCACAGGAAACACTGCTCACTGCTCTCTGGGGACCTCAGTGGGAAGGATACCTGGCGTGCTGCCGTCTATGGGGTGGCAAAGAGTCGGACACGACAGGGTGACTGAACAACAATAGCTGATTCACTTTGCTGTACAGTGAAAACCAACACAATATTGTAAAGCAACTATGCTCCAGTTACAAAAAAGGTCCATGTGTCAGCAGTGTTTAAGACATGCTACTGCCCAGGAGAGACTTCCTTCTTGATGTAACCAAGTCTGAAGGATTGGACAGGACGCAGCTTCTCTACTGTGTGATCAGTGCCCTTTAGTCCCTTGTCTATCCACAGAAGATCTCATCACACACTTTAGGGAACAGTGATGTAGACTAGGGTTCAAACCCTAGCTTTATCTTTTTTGGTGTAACCTTAGGCAACGCGTTTTTTAACTTTTTATTGCAACTCATGCACATTCAGAAAAGCTGATGTGTGTGTACAGCTCAGTGAATTTTCAGAAGCCAAACTACCCACGGGTCCAAACTGAGGAGCATCACCAGCTCTCTGGAAGCCCACACCACATTTCCTCCAGTCACTGCTGGCCCCCTCAAGAGCAGCCACTGTTAAGCAAGTCATTCTGACCCTGTCTGATCCTTGGCTCAAAGGTGGGGACGTCACACTGACTGTGCAGGCTCATCAGAAGCGACGGAAGGACCAGCCACTGATGAAGTATAAGGGCAAAACTTGTAGTAGACACGCAGGAGACAATAGAGATTCTTATCAGGAAATGGAGGAGGAACACGGCTTAAGTACCAGCTGGAAAGGGAGACAGCAAATCCCATCTCGGAAATGAGCACAGTCTCAGAACCTTGCCATGTGGAGGAAGTGTGTGTCGTTGTGCTTAAGTGCATGTGCTCTGAATCCAGACAAATGTGAATTCACAAAATCTTGCTCAGCCAGCTCCTTGTGGGATCCTAGGTCTGGGTGAGGCCTAAGCATCAGTACATTTAAAAGCATACTGGGAGGACTTCCCTGGTGGCCCCAGTGGTTAAGATTCCATCTGCCAAGGCAGGGGACATGGGTTCGATCCCTAGTCTGGGAAGATTCCACACGCCCCAGAGCAACTGGGCCTGGGCGCCACAACTACCGAGCCTGGTCTCTGAGCCCACAAATTGCAACTACTGAAACTTGCACGCCTAGAACCTGTGCTCCTCAACAAAAGAAGCCACCACACATTGAGAAGCCCATGCACCGAAACAAAGAGCAGCCCTTGCTGGCCACGACTAGAGAAAGCCCATGCATAGCCACAAATACCCAGGGCAGTCAAAAATAAATTAATTTGGGAAAAAAAGAAAAAAAAGCATCCTAGGTAATTCTAAGATGAAGCCTGGGTGGAGAACCAGGCTCCAAACCCAGTTTCTCCATCTATGAAATAGAGATTTAAGAAATAGCCATTACACATGGGGTATTTTGTAGACTCTGAAAATTATGCATGGGAAGCCCTTAAAACAGACCTTGACCCACAGACAGCATGAAGGGACTTTTCTGTTACAGCCCTAAGTAGTCTGGTCTGACAAGAAGTCTTTCCTTAATACCTTTTGCTCCAGGGGTCAGCAGGTACTTTCTGGAAAGGGCCAGATATTAAATGTCTGCTTGGTGGGCCAGGCAGATTCTGTGGCATCCACTCAACTCTGCCATCGCTGTGTGACCGCAATCACAGACAGTACACACACCAGCCAACCGTGCCTCTGTCCTTGCACCTTCATTTATGGACACGGAAACTGGAATTTCACATCATTTGCACATGTCATGAAATATCACTCTCTTTTTCATTTTTTTTGCCCCAGCCATTTAAAAATATAAAATCTATTCACAGCCTGGACCTTGGACTGTCCAGAAACAGGCAATGGGCTGGATTTGGCCCCTAGGCTGACTCCTGCCTTCCCGTTCTTGACTCTTCCTCCATGTGACAAAGAATAGGGCAAGGTTCCTGAATTCTTGTGTTTATGTTTGCTTTAGGGTGTCTCAATTTCTCTCTTTCCTTCTCTGTCCCACCCCCTCTGTCTCTCCCCACTCTCCTTCCCTTCCCTCCCTCCCTGCTTCCTCCTATCTCCCCACTGCCTCTCTCCTTCCTCCCCTTCCTCTTCCTCCCTCCTCCCTCCCCACTTCCCTCCCTCTCGTGCCTTTCTCTTCTCCCTTCTCTTTCCCTCCCTCTCCCCCTTTCTCTCTCCCTCTCTTCCCCGCCCTCTGCAAAGGTCCCAATGCCGGAAATCGGCCGGCCGGGGACCTGTCTTCCAAAACCCTGGCACAAGATCAGTGGTTTTCCACCAAATTCCAAGCTTGTGTTGAGGCTTTTCACACTGTCTCCTAGCAACCACCTTCTGTTCCCTCACCCTTTGTGGCCCCCTCTCTCCCCACCCTTGGCCATTCAAACTTCCCCAGACACTGACTTACAAAGAGGGCTGGGAATCCCCCGGAGCTGCTGCAGTAGTGGGGTGACTGCATCTGCAGTCCCCCTCCCCCAACACTGGAGGCTTCTTTTGGTCCCGGAATGTTAACTAGCTCTGCTTTGCCAGCTCTGCTTTGCCCGCTCAGCTCTGGAGTGGAGGGCTCCGCAGACTGGTCCTCTGTTCCCATCTCCTCTCCTCCCTCTGCACCCAAGGCCCAGGGGAGGATGCCGCTGTTGTTCCCTCCTTTCATTTGTTTGGGTTTCTTTAATGCGTTTAATCAGAAGACTTGATCTTTTTTTAAGATCCACAAACAAAACAAAACTCTCAGAGGATTAGAAAATGTAGGAGAATATAGGGGCTTCCCCGGTGGCTCACCAGTAAAGAATCCTCCTGCAATGCAGGAGCTGCAGGAGACAAGGGTTCGATCCCTGAGTCCAGAAGATCCCCTGGAGGAGGAGGAAATGGCAACCTGCTCCAGTATTCTTGCCTGGGAAATCCCATGGACAGAGGAGCTGGCAGGCTACAATCCATAACGTCTCAAAGAGTCAGACACACACGCACGCAGGAAAATATAATCACAAACAATACTAGAGTGAAAACCCTTGTATTTACCTCCTTGTGTATTTGTCTAGGACAAAGGTTGAGAAGTGGCCTTGCTGGGTCCCAGGGCATGTGTGGTTTATATTTTACCAGGTCCTGCAGCATCATTCTCAAACAAGATTGTAAATGCTCCCACCAGCAGTGACTGAGAGTGCCCCTAAAGCTACGTCCTCTCTGATACAATATAATCAAACAGTATTTAATCAAGAACATGTACAGGTTTTTTTCTAGCAGGTACTGCTAAATTGACTTCACAGTTTTCACTGGCTGCTCTAATTAACACTCCCCAGAGGGATACACCTTTTTCCCAAACCCTCACTTGATATCAAATACATATTACAAATATCAAATACATAGTTTTAAATTTTTATTTATTTTTGGCCACTTTTCCAAAGGGTGAAAAGATGTGTCTAATTATTTTTCTCCTTACAATTGAGGGTTCCCCCCGGCCCCACCCCTTTCCCAGAAAATATTTTGATCAGCTTCTTAGTCACAAAGAAGAGACTTCCCTAGTGGTTGAGCGCTTCATGGAATGGAAGCCTGGCTGCACCACTGAGCAAGGCCTACTCACTCGCTGAGACAAGAGTGGCTTTCAGTTGTTGCAGGGTCTCAGCATGGCACCTGCAGGTCATCAAGCCCATGTTTGAAAAGTGAAAGTGTTAGCTGCTCGGTCGTGTCTGACCCTATGGACTGTAGCCTGCCAGGCTCCTCTGTCCATGGGATTCTCCAGGCAAAAATACTGGAGTGGGTTGCCATTCCTTTCTTTCTCCAGGGAGCCTTACCGACCCAGCGGTGGGACCCACGTCTCCTGCATTACCCTCTGAGTCACCAGGGAAGCCTCTGGTATCCATGTTTAGTGGCTCTTTCATGAGTGGATCAAGAGGCAGAGGAGGGAAAGAAGAGGTGCTTCCATAGCGAGAGTCCCCATCTAAGTGCCAGGGAGGTTTTCAGCACAGGACTGAGGGTGGAGAGCCAAGATCTGTTTTCCCTGTTGGGAAAATCCTAAGGGAGATTTTGTGTTTATCCACAGTCTCACTGAGCCAGCTAACGAGATGTCAAACTCTCTGCTTTTGGCTGAAATTCCTTCAGCTCAGTATGGTAATACCGCCTCATGCTGATCGGAAGCCTGGCGGTTCTGTATGTCTTTGAAAAGTAAAGATGGGAATGCAGATAAATTACTAATTAACAAATGCCATCCATTTGTCACACCAACTCTTTCGAGGCTCAGAGTCCAAGGGGAAAGGATAATTATGAAAAATACCACCAAAAATAAAGTCTCTTCAACAAATGGTGCTGCAACCCCATTGGATATCCATACAGAAAAAAAATAAATGTTGGGTGCCATGGACAAAAATTAATCTGAAATGGATCATAGTATTAAACATAAAAGCTGAAACTAAAAAGCCTTTAAAAGAAAGTACAAGAGAAATTCTTTGCAAAGACTTCTTAGGTACAACATAAAAAGCACAAAGCATTAAAGAGAGAAAGGGATAAATTGGACTTTGTCACAATCAAAAGCTTCTGTCCTTTGAAAGACACCATTTAGAAGAGGAAAGGCAAGCCACAGACTTGGAGAAAATATTTTGCAAAGGATTCCTATCTAGAATAAATAATGAACTCTTGCAACTCAGTAATAAAAAGACAACCCATTTTTTAAATGGGCTAAAAATTCTAATGGAAATCTTGCAAAGGAAAATCTGAATGGTCAGTGAAATTCTCAACAGGAAAGTACACATTAAAACCACAATAGATTTGAGTACTCATCAGCTGAATGGCTGCTTCCCTTGTGGCTCAGCTGGTAAAGAATCCGCCTGCAATGCAGGAGACCTGGGTTCGATCCCTGGGTTGGGAAGATCCCCTGGAGAAGGGAAAGGCTACCCACTACAGTATTCTGGCCTGGAAAATTCCACAGACTGTATAGTCCATGGGGTTGCAAAGAGTCAGACACCACTGAGCAACTTTCACTTTCACAGCTGAATGACTAAATTTAAGGATGGATATTACCAAGCATAGGCGAGGAACCAGAATTCCCATAACATTGCTATGGAAACATAAAATGATATAACCACATGGGTAAACCTGTTCACCACTTATACTTATTGTCTGACCCAGCAGTTCTACTCCTGAGTATGTATACGTATCTTCTGGTCTGAATTATGTCTCCCCCAGTTACAGATATTGAAGCTCTGACCGTGCTTGAGAATGTGACTGTTTTTGAGGACAGGGTCTTCAGAGCTGACTGAGTTAACACGAGGCTGTTGAAGTTAGGGTGGCCTTAATCCAGCGTGACTGGTGTCCTTGTAAGAAGAGGACACTGGAACACACAGAGAAACACCAGGGACGCACACGCAGAGAAAAGACCAGATGGGGACACGGCGTGAAGGTGGCCGTCTGCAAGTCACCAGACCTGCCCGCACCTCCATCTCGACGTTTACTAGCCTCCAGGATCGTGGGAAATACATTTCTGTTCTTCAAACCACCCAGTCCGTGGTGGTATGTTATGGCAGCCCTGGCAGACTAATCCAGTGTCTTAAGACGAATGAAATCCTATTTCTACACAGAGTTGTAGGTGAATGTCTGCAGAAGCTTTATTCATAATTTCTAAGAAGTGGAAGCAATCCATATGTTTATCACCTGATGAGCAAACTGTGGTCCATCCATCCAGTGGAAGATGACTCAACAATAAGAAGGAGTAAATTATTGATACTATGCGCCAAATGTGATGCTGAGAGAATGAAGCCAGAGACAAAAGAGCATATATCATCTGATTCCATTTCTGTGAAATACGAGAAAAATCAGGTTTAATCTTTAGTCATGCAAAGCTCATCAATGATGGGCTGAGGGTGGGGGAGATTAACTGGGAAATCATATAAGGGAAACTTCCAAGGCGATGGGACATTCTTTTTCTTGAGTGTGGTAGTGGTTACACAGGCGAACATAGTGGTCGAAACTCATCAAACATTACAGGAAATGCATTTTGTTGTATGTAAATATACCTCGTTAAAATCGATTATTTTTTTAAAATAAGTGTCCTCAATCCGGAAAATGCTTGGAAGCCCTGCCCTGGATGCACTTAAAGGCAGGTGAGCAGATGAGAGTGGGTGCTGTGGGTAATCAAAGTGTCTTGTCATCAAGGACGTATGAGGAGGGGACCAGCGAGAACGAGGCCGCAGCCGAGGAGGAGGAGGGGGAAGAGGAAGCCTCCCCTGACGTGGACGGGTGCCCAGCATTAAAGGTAGGGAGGGCTGGGAGTGGGAAGAGCTGTCTTTGAGGAAATAATCCTCAAGTCTTGAACCCGGGCAGTCAGAAAAGTCTCGGGGCTAAGTCTCATGCCCCAGCATCAGGGGACAGGCTTTCAGAGTGGGGAGACCTGCAGAAGGCTCTGTAGGGGTGTCCCTGCCTGGAATTGGAGTCATTTCAGTGACAGAAAATCAAGAGGAATTGATTGACCCTCTCATCTCTCCCACCCTCTGTGGTTCTCAGTTCTCTGGGCAGACCCCAGGCTGTGCAGTCAGCTGGCCTGGATTCAAATACTGGCTCTGCTCCTACCTAGCTGGGTGGCCTTAGACCGATGACTTCACCCCTCTCTAGCCTCGGCTTTCTCATCTCTAAAATGGGCGCATAATGTCAGCCTTGCAGATGGGCTAGAAGATTTCAAAGCAGTGGATTTCTCCATTTGGGTCTACCTGAAGGACAGTAGGAAAGGGGGTCTAGTTTAGTCACTGTCGCCTTCTGCTCCGCTGCTGCACTAGGGTGACATGTTATAAGAGGCTTCATGCTCCACAGAGAGAGATCTCCATGTTCTTTCACCTGCAGGACCTCTGGGAGTATAGTGCACAGGGGTGGAGGTACAGGCTGTACACTGCACAAAGGTGCCTGGCCCCTGGGCCAGGGTCGGGGAGGTAGGGGTGTTGGAGAAGAATCTGGGCCTGCCTTCTAACTACTCCACACCAAGAGGAAATCTTGCTGCAGTTTCTCCAGCCAAAGGGGGTGCCTTTTTCAAAAGCACACAAAGGCATTGTTTAGGCTAACCAAGGCTTTTCTTTTGGGTGTTTTTATTTGTTAATCTTTACTGGTAATTACTGTGAAAGGGCAACAGAAAAGTTGATCACCTAGTTTTAAAAAAACGAGGTTTGCTAGTCGCTTCCATGACTCCAAGAAAACATCTGTAGTTCTTGGCTAGGGCGATGGGAGCCTTTTTGTCAAAATATGGTTGGCACATTATTCTTGAGGGGGTGAGGCCCAGGACATCCGTGCCTGACGTACCTCTGCTGCTTATGTGAGCTTGTTATGGGACTGAGTATCTCCCTCTGACCCCAAGCGCAGGTGCCAGGCAGGACTGGGGGCCAGCACGCGGGGCCTCGGGTGCCATGCTGGCAGGGCTGGGTCCGTGGAAGCCCCCGGCTGTGTCTGAGGGCCAGGGGTGAGGTGATGGAGCGGGGAGCAGCTTCAGTGAGTCTCAGGGTGAGTGGCTGAGACTCTGGGTTCTCCCAACCTCACGGCCATGCCTTCTTCCTCAGGTGGACAAGGAGACCAACACAGAGACCCCGGCCCCATCTCCCACGGTGGTGCGGCCCAAGGACCGGCGGGTGGGCACGCCCTCCCCAGGGCCGTTTCTTCGAGGGAGCACCATCATCCGCTCCAAGACCTTCTCCCCAGGCCCCCAGAGCCAGTACGTGTGCCGGGTAAGCAGCCGCACAGCCGTCCTCCCCAGAGCACCCGCTTCTCGCCCTGCAGCTGAGAGAACCCTGGGCCTCGCACGGTTCTGGGTCCAAGTCCTGGTCCCGGCCCTGTTGTCAGTCATTCTTGGCATGTTAGCACCTGTTTGCTTATGGAGTTAACAGACCAATTCTATGGGGTTGCTCTAAGGACTGAACTGGCTAAAGCGTGGGAACGGCTCAGTAACCAGTACGTGGCCAACACTTTTACATATGTGTGTGTCTGTTTACTTACTTATAACATATATATTTATTTACTTGATTACTATATAAATATAATGTATTTATTTACTTACTTACCCAACCACACAGTACGTGGGATCTCAGTGCCCGACCAGGGGCTGAACCCATGCCCCCTGCTATCAATGTGAGGAGTCCTAACCACTGGGCCACCAGGAAATTTGCAGCCAAGGCTGTTTTTCAGTTCAGTTCAGTTCAGTTCAGTCGCTCAGTCATGTCTGACTCTTTGTGACCCCATGGACTGCAGCACGCCAGGGCTCCCTGTCCATCACCAACTCTCGGAGTTCACTCAAACTCATGTCCATTGAGTTGGTGATATCATCCAACCATCTCATCCTTTGTCATCCCCTTCTCCTCCTGCCTTCAATCTTTCCCAGCATCAGGGTCTTTTCAAATGAGTCAGCTCTTCACATCAGGTAGCCAAAGGATTGGAGTTTTAGCTTCAACATCAGTCCTCCCAGTGAATATTCAGGACTGATTTCCTTTAGGATGGACTGGTTGGATCACCTTGCTGTCCAAGGGACTCTCAAGAGTTTTCTCCAACACCACAGTTCAAAATTATCAATTCTTTGGCGCTCAGCTTTCTTTATAATCCAATTCTCATATCCATACATGACTACTGGAAAAACCATAGCCTTGACTAGATGGATCTTTGTTGGCAAAGTAATGTCTCTGCTTTTTAATATGCTGTCTAGGTTGGTCATAACTTTTCTCCCAAGGAGTAAGTGTCTTTTAATTTCATGGCTGCAGTCACCATCTGAAGTGATTTTGGAGCCCAGAAAAATAAAGTCTGCCACTATTTCCACTGTTTTCCCATCTATTTCCCATGAAGTGTTGGGACCGGATGCCATGATCTTTGTTTTCTGAATATTGAGCTTTAAACCAACTTTTTTACTCTCCTGTTTCACTTTCATCAAGAGGCTCTTTAGTTCTTCTTCTCTGCCATAAGGGTGGTGTCATCTGCATATCGGAGGTTATTGATATTTCTCCCGGCAATCTTGATTCCAGCTTGTGCTTCCTCCAGCCCAGCGTTTCTCATGATGTACTCTGCATATGAGTTAAATAAGCAGGGTGACAATATACAGCCTTGACGTTCTCCTTTTCCTATTTGGAACTGTTTATAATTCCAGCCAGCTCTCCACTCTGCTTACACCCGGCCCTGCCCTCCCGCAGCCCTTGCTGAGGTCAGACTGACCCTCACCGTCGCTCAGGGACAGCTCCCCCCGCTCCAGGGCAATGGCAGCATGTAGCCTGAGTTTGCAAAATCGCAACAGCCCTGGATTACTCAGCCATGGGTTTAGGGGCTCTTTTTAATCGAACTTTTTGGCTACCATTGCAAACTTAAGAAATTCAATTAAAAATAAAATTTTAAATGCAGCGATTTCACATAAAACTCCAGTTTCTCTGGGGAGGGGGAAAGGGAGACTGTCTGGCCCCGAGGGTTACACGTTCTGTCACAGTGATGAGTGGCTGGAGCTCAGCAGTGAGGGCCACTGCCCTTGGAGGAGGGATTGACCAGCCTTTTCAAGTTCACTGTGGCCTCCACCTGGCCCTCTTTAACGTATTTGACTTGCTGACCTGCTCTTGCAGGCCATGGAAGATTTAGAAGCCGTGTGGCGGTCGTGGCTTCTGGATCCCCTTGTCTTCTATCCAGTTAGTCTACCCCATCTGAGGAGTCATGCCAGTTGCTGGGGCTACAGAACCAAGACCTTGTTTCTGAGGTTCAGATGACACGTTGACATCCTTCCTTATCTCCTACCGTACAAAATGAGCAAGCAATAACTAGAATAATAAACAGAACCTTCCTGCCTTGTGTTCCAGTTACGTTGTGCAGGAGAGGCCTCTGGATCACCTCATCAAACTGACATCCACTTGTCTATTGTTATAGAGGGAGGGGCTACGGGGGGATTCAGCACCTAATATCTGGTATCCAAGGCCTCCAGTTATAAGCTTGAGTGTGTGTGTGTGTGCTCAGTTACCCGGGTGTGTCCAATTCTTTGCATGCTCCTCTATCCATGGGATTCTCCAGGCAAGAATACTAGAGTGGGTTGCCATTTCCTTCTCCAGGGGATCTTCCCAACCCAGGGATCGAACCTGCATCTCCTGCGTCTCCTGCATTGCAGGCGGATTCTTTACTGCTAAGCTAATAGTAGTGATGTTAATTTTTTCATAACGTGCCAATTTTACAAATGCACCGGCTACTTTTCAAATTAGTGCCCACCCCAGAACACTCCCTGCAGTACCTCCCAGAAATAACGTAAACCTCTCCTCTCTGTGTGAAGTCTCTACTTAATGTTTGAGCTTCTAAACATCTGAAAAGACAGTGTGAGTACATGTAATATAGTTGTGTATCTTGCAAAAGGTACAGGGTTTCCTGCAGTCACTGAGTGTGATTTTAATGCAAGGGACTTCTGAACCACAAGTGAAGAATCCTGCTTAATCCCAGCTCACAGCTGAAGAAGAGAAAAACCCAATCCATGTTTCAAATGTGAATAACTTGAAGGATTTAGAAAAGCCCTCAGGATAATAGATAATCTGTCTTTGGCAAAATTACTGCCTTTGTGAACGTGCAGTGGAAATCAACGCAAAATGAAGGATGTTACTTGTTGGAAAAATCACAGCAAAAGAAATGAATGTTTGATTTATCGTTTGTCATCAGGATTTAGAATGCAGTTGTAATTTTGTCAAATGGAAGATATGAAATATAAATCTTTTAAAAAGTGTTACTTTTTTCCAACTAAAAAACTTTTCCCCCCAATGTTTACTATAAAATTCTGTTCTCTTGTGTAAATGAATTCACCTTAAATGGCCTTTCCCAGAATTGGCATTCCTGATAACAAAGAGGTTCAGTCCCATGTCTCAAGCATTTTTAACACAAGTAGCACTATGCTGAACCCGTCCTATATTTTATTACTTGGACCAGTCTCCAGCCTCAGGGCTGAAGGTAAAGAAATTCCCAGTCTGCATGGATCACCTGCCACAGGCAAAATGGGCCTTTGTTAGCAAAGAGGTATATTTTTTCTTCTTTTGCTTTCTGACTACACTTCAGCCCAAGCTTATCTGTTTCTGGTAGATTCTCACTTAAGGCTACAAGGAGTAGCCAATGGTACAACATCCTGAATTTTTTTTTCCTGTCACTTCCCTTAAAACTCTGTAGGGGTGTGCAATCTGCCTCTCAAGATTCAACAGGTAACAATAATGTATCCCTCTGTTTCTCGCCCATAAAATGAGCATTCTCAAATTCCCAGCAGGGAATATGTGTCTGTGCTGAGCCCCCTCCTACCTCCAGTACACAGCCAGCTCCCTGTTTTCCAGCCCGTGGTTTATAACACTCCACTCCCCTAGTACCAAGTCCTATGCTGGTCAGGGTTCTTAACAGCAAGCAACAGAAACAGACTGGGAGTAGTATATGTGTGGAAGAAATGTCTGAACAGGAAATTGAGTAGTTCACAGATTCATTAGAAGGCTGTAGAAGCAACCTCAGAAATCAGGCAGGAACAAGGCAGGCCAGACCACAGCCAAAATCCCACCATAAAGACAGGTGAGGACCAAGTGCACTGTAGAGCGTGGCCCCAGCTAGCCCTGCAGCTGACTTTGGGGTTCAGCACTGATGCCCCCACCAGACTCTTGACACTGCAGGAGGCCAGGACAGTTCTAGCTGCTGCTGCCACCACTGCCACTATCACCACTAATGCCTTCTTCTCCCTGAGAAACCAACAAACACAGATGCAACAAACCAGCCAACAAGCATGGAACAGAAGAGAATGACCTGGCTGAGTCCAAGAGGCACAGTGACAGAGATTTGGTCCAGCGGACCAGGTTGTGATTCAAAGACCAGGGCGGTTGCATTGAATTGTCATAGTTGAGGCCTGTGCCGGCTTCTAGCTGCAAGGGAGGCCATGAAGGCAAGACTCTGGTACTTTTGCCTCATGAGTGGAACGTGGGCTTTGTCTCCCACTGAGAGTCATAAGAGGATGGAGTTTCATATGCTAATTAGGTGAGCATCCCCCGCCGCCCCCCCAAAAAATCCCTATTTTTCCTGTGTCATCTAATCTCACACACCGCCCTGCAAGGCAGGTGGCGTTATTCCCATTTCATAGACGCAGAGAGTCAGGGCACCTTGTTGTGAACAGAAGCAATCCCTTCCCCTGGCCTGACGCCACATCAAGAGCCTCTGCTGGGCATCCCCTTCTTTGGTCCTCAGCACAGCCTGTGTGACCTGGTGAGTTTCCTGGCCTTGGGCTCCCACTGGACTTTAAGTCATGAGGGGTGAGGACAGTGTGTTTTACTCTCCACAGCTCCCCACAAGCCCTGTGTCTCTGACACCTACATACTCATCAGCAGCGCGGTCACATGTGTTGGTTGGCTCACTTTGACCTGAAGGAAACAGTCCTCCCAAAACTCTCATTTCCAAGTAGATCCCTCTGACTTCCAGTTATTTCACCTCTCTGCTCCTCAATTTCCCTCTAATGGAGATAACAAAAAGGCAACAATTTTCTCTACCATGTCTGAGATCAAATGCACTAAAACATATTTAAGAAAAAGTTAAATTCAAGGAATTATATAACTTTCATCGCTCTTTTATAACATGGTCTTTAACACATAAACAACTGTGACTTAAGTATCAATCATCCTGACACGTATTTCTAGTTGGTATGACTTATATTCTGTGAGTGCCACCTTAGGATTGAAACAATGCAGAATAAAGCCCCCTTCTGATATGATACCCAGCCAGTCCATTTGTATGAATCCACCCCAGTCAAGATGGTTCACTGCTCTGTCTTTATATTAGTTTCAACTCTGAGCATTACATGCATCCTGAAAAAGGACGTGGCCTTGGGTGGGACCTTGAACTCTTGTTCTGATGCTTACCAGCTGTATGGCTTATAAAAGTGTGGTAATCTCTCCCAACCTCAGTCCCCTCAGTTAGGATGGTCTGAGGATTAAATGAAACTGCCAGTAAAGCCCATGGCACATAGCAGGGGCTCCGTCCATATGGCTGTTGTTTTGTTTGTTTGTTTTTATTTGACTGTACCAGATTGCAGCATGCGGGATCTTTACTTGTGGCGTGTGAACTCTCAGTTGCAGCATGTGGGATCTAGTTCCCTGACCCGAGATTGAACCCCGGCTCTCTATGTTGGTAGTGCAGAGTCTTAGCCACTGGACCACCAGGGAAGTCCCAGTGTGGCTTTTGTTGTTACTGTCATCTATTTCTCATTCTGGTTGACACTCTGCCTAGTGCAGTAGCTATTTCATCAATGTAGCAGGACTATTAATATCATTATTACTAATAATTATTAATAACCACAAACATGACAGTTTGGACAGCTTCTCAGAGGGGACCCACCTCAGTGAGCTGACAGCTGCCAGAATAAATAGACTCTGGAGCATCAGCTTGTGACGATCCCACTGACCTGGAAATATGACTCCAGAGAGAGACCCCCGTCTCCCTCCCTCTCCCGTCCTCCCGCTGGGGACACGAGCTGTCAGTAGAAAAGCATCCGCTTGACCGTAGCCCTGATCTCTGGCCACAGATGAGGAATGTTAGCCCTCCAGGGAGAGTCTAGATAACTGCGGGATTGAACGGATTCTGACGAGGAGAGAGCTGTGACCAGCACAGCCCTCCCAGAACCTGTCTTCCCCATCTTCTCCAAGGATACGGTCCCCAGGCCTGGCCTGTGGGCTGCCTTCTCACGTATGTGTCAGTCTCAACAGGGGCTCCATTCGAGCCCTGAAGGTGGGCTCTGTGGGTGACAGGAAAGAGTTGATCCAAACAGGCCTTAGCGTAGGCGGTCAGGGGGCAGTGACCCCTGGAGTCATCCGTGTCTGGTGTCCACCCCACCAGGCTGCTACCAGCTCCAACCTTGAGCAAGTTGGGTAGCCCCTCACCCGCCGTCTTCTCATTAGGAAAGTAGCGATGTCCTCTCCCATGGGGCTGTTGGAAGGATGAATGAAGTCTTGTGTTTAGCACGCAGGGGCGTGCATTGTTGAATACACACTCAGTGAACGCTCACCCAGAGAGAAAAGGAAGGTCGAATGAAACCTGCCTCCTCACGCAGTCCCCCCTGGGGAACACGGAGAGGAAGGACTGGGCTGGGGACCCCACCACCCTCCTGGCCCCAGTGAGCCTTTCGAATGCGCTCGCACCTTCATGAGCGTCCCACGCCTCTTCTCTTTGCAGCTGAACCGAAGTGATAGCGACAGCTCCACCCTGTCCAAGAAGCCACCTTTTGTTCGAAATTCCTTGGAGCGGCGCAGTGTCCGGATGAAGCGGGTAAGACGGTCCCTTTGTTTGCCCAAGTCTGGTGTCCTTCACACACATCCCCTGACGCCTGACCGTTTCTCCTCAGCCACTGGATAAAAGAAAGCACTTGAAAGCATGGTGGTATTTGCAAATGGAAGTTGGTGAACTGTAAGGCCTGGGTAGGCACTGGGGAAAGTACCAATGTAACATAGTTTTTGTGACCAATAAGTTAGGTCAGGAGTGGGCATACTTGTGTAGAAATCAAAGTCATGAAGAACCAATCAACCCAAGACGTCACAGCTACCGCTGGGAGCCTGCCTCATGCAGGTCTCTGCTCCCTGTGTCGTCCAACTGACCGAGCAGTTGAAGATCCCTTGCAACAGCCTCCTTGCGGGAAGAGAAGCCAGGTGCCCCTGCCCCCCCACGCCTCCCCACCGAGAGCTGACCTGGAAGCAAGGAGGTACGAACAGGACTCAGTCCAGCTGGAAACTCCCAGGGAAGAGGCCCCAAGCTGTCCCCGCGGAGCAACCTGGCCTTTCCTTATGGAGAACGTGGCTGTGGGATGGGGGTTGGCAAGAGGCCTTAGGCCAAGGCCCGACTCCTGCTAGGGACTTTGACTAGTCAGGGCTGCAGGAGCGGCAGGGGGCCCTCCCCACTTTGGGCTTTCAGCGCAGACTTGACAATAGTTCTGGTGAGGTTACAGAACTAGAAAAAACTCAGGAGCCAGAATGTCAGAAAGAGAAGCAGAGACAGTGAAGCAAAAAATGCAGAGAAAGGAGAGCGTGCTGATAGCCCCATGTGGGGGCAGCGCCTTAGCATCTCCGGCAGGCCTGCTGCTGACCGCCGGCTTCGGGAGTGGTCCTGTGCCTGGCCGTACCCAACCCCACAAGTCCCCAGAAAGAACCAGAGACAGCAGGAGAAAGAAGGTAGTGCAGAAGAGGCTCTCTCCCAGAAAGGAGAGAGTGCTGGCTGCCTAAGAATGTGGACATGGCTGCAAGTGACGGGGGCATCCCCTGCCCCACCCCATGTGCTGTGGCTGGCTGGCACTCCAGTCCCTGGAGCACTGAGTCACCTTGGGAGCTTGTTGATTATGCAGATTCCGAGGCTGTGCTTCCAGACCGCCTCATCCAAGTGGCTGGGGTGGGGCCCTGGAAGCAGCATTTTTATAGGCTCCTCAGAGAATTCTGGAGCAGGTGTTCTGTGATCCATTCCTGGAGAAGTGACACCGAGGAGTTCCTACTCGGTCCCCACTACACATCTTACAACTCCCTACCTGCAGGCAAGCCCCTCAGAAGTGCCTGCTTCTTCACCCCCTCTTCCCCTCAGCCAAGGGGATGCTTTGCAAAGGGGACCCTTGAGAGCTGGCCTGAGCCCATGTTCCCTTCAGGTCCTTTCTATGTCCTGAGGAACAGGGGTGTCCAGAGGAAGCCAGGGCCCATGCACACTGCAGAGCTGCCTGAGCAGTGCGTGCTGTGGAGAGGGCCACCGGACAAGGGCCTGAGAGGACTTCTAGTAGCCGTGAGCAGCCCCTGGTCAGCAGCTGAGTGAGGAAATGCAAGGAAACGAACCCTACCCAGGACCTGAGGGAGCCTGGCTGCAAATCATCCCCTTGTCAAATCCCCAGATAGGTTCTCAGTCGGTCAAAACCTAGATTTCAGCCTCATGAGACCCTGAGCAGAGGATTCAGCAAACGTGTGTGCTAAACTCCTATCCACTCAAAGTGTGGGATGATGATTTGCTCTATGTTTAGCTGCTAGTTTGTATAATTTGTTATATATATATATATATATATATATGATACGCTCAGTTGTGTTGGACTCTTTGTGACCCCATGGACTGTAGCCTACCAGGATCCTCAGCCCATGGGATTTTCCAGACAACAATACTGGAGTGGGTTGCCATTTCCTTCTCCAGGGGATCTTCCCGAACCAGGGATTGAACCCGGGTCTCCTGCATTGTAGGCAGACGCTTTACCGCCTGAGCTACCAGGGATGCCCAGTAACAGAAAACCAACACAACGCCCAATAAAGTGATTTCAAAATTGGTATTAATACAAAAGACACTAACTATGAGACCTGCCCTCACTTCAAGCTGGCCAGCATGCTTTTAGGGATGGGTAACCACTCAATGGAGTGGTTCTGTTCTGGTCTAGGGTGACCATTGTCTAGTCTGTGCTTATAAATGAGCAAGGCCGGGAGATCCAGCTGAGTGATCTCAGTGACTCCAGGTCTCACCTGAAGATGCTTTTGCTTAGCTCTGCTCCCCCTGTTCTATCCTCAGCCGTGTCCTACTCTTCGTGACCCCGTGGACTGTAGCCCGCCAGGCTCCTCTGTCCATGGGATTCTCCAGGCAGGAATACTGTAATGGGTTGCCATTTCCTTTGCTCTGGCCGATGGCCAGTCTCAGAAAGTTGTCTGGACATGTGGATGCAGAGAGAGGCAGAGCTCCGGCAGCAGATAGAAGACAGAGTAAGGGAAGCAACTGTCTGTAGGGAGTGAGTGAGTAGGACCTGGAGCCAGCTGCCTGGGGTGGAATCTCGGCTTCAGTGCTTATAACCTGTGTGATTTAACCTCTGGGAGCCTCATTTGTGCACATGGTAACAGTCAGGACCTCGCAGGGTCATGAAAATGAACTCAGGTAACGGAAGTAAAGCGCCCAGCACCGTGACTGGGACATAAAAATGCTCACTAATAGAGGGGTAGACATGGCAAAAATCAAGACAGGCTCCCAGGGGCTGGGCGAGCCCCACTTTTGCAGTGGAAGCCCGCGGATGAACGAAGGAGGGTAGCTGAGCTCCTGAGCAGAGGAGAGCGCGGGCTCACTGGACCTGGTCCGGTGCTAACCAGTCCAAACCACCCCCACCCCCGCAGCCCTCGTCTGTCAAATCCCTGCGCGCTGAGCGCCTGCCGCGCACCTCGCTGGACCTCGAGCTGGACCTGCAGGCCACCAGGACCTGGCACAGCCAGCTGACTCAGGAGATCTCGGCGCTGAAGGAGCTCAAGGAGCAGCTCGAACAAGCCAGGAGCCACGGGGAGAAGGAGCTGCCGCAGTGGGTGCGGGAGGACGAGCGCTTCCGCCTGCTGCTGAGGATGCTGGAGAGGCGGGTGAGTGGCGCGCCGGCGTGGCTGCAAGGGAGGGCCTCGGAGCGCGGAGCCGGTCCTGCGGTTCTGTGACTCGCGGAGCGTGCTCCCAGAGCCCCTCACGCTCATCATCCTCCCCCAGGAAAGTTAATTCGCGGTTTACTGGCTGCCGGGTCCTTTTGCTGCACGCCCAGTGTTTGCGTGCAAGCCCTTATTACTCACACGTTTATTCCACCAGCTGGTCCTTCGTCAGACATGTTGGGGGACACTTTATCTATACTGGGGCACACACATGCACAGAATAAATACAAACGCTGACCTGCCCTCGTGCCTGCCTACCCAGTCCCACAGAGCACGTTTCTCCAAAGGGGAGAGGAGTGGGTCCTGGCCGGGCTTTATCCTGATGAAGACGGCCGAGGATACAAGCCTGCCGGCGTCTCATCCCCAGCGTAATGAGTTGGAGCGATCTCAGCGCTGCTCAAGGAAAAAGACACAACCACAAAGGGGCCAGAGCAGACGATGAGTTGGATTTGGGGGGCGGCTGCTCTCACACGTGTGTATTTGGGAAGGTCTCACATGAGACCTTCTGCACGAGACACGCCCAACCCCAGCCTCCAAAGGCAGCTGTTTTGGCGCCACTACCTAGAGGGGAGGAGGCCAGGCGAACTCCCAGGGAAAAGGGGGTTGGAGAGGGGACCTAGACATGGAGATGATGTCTCTTGGAGCACCATGAGGAGTCTTGGGTTGGAGAACTCCAAAGCAGCAGGAGTTTGGGGTCTCTTACAGCCCTGGGGTTTAACACATCTATGACTGGTAGATATTGGGTGCATTTTTAGGGGGTATATGTAACAGACAGGCTCTAAAAGGCTTAAAAAAAAAAAAAAACTGCGATTTGAGCTTCATTTAAAACAATTGGATGGGTAAAAATTTGTCTTTGGCACCAGTGGGCTCTTGAGCTAACAGATCCCAGACTGTGGTGAAGAAATAAACACCATAGGACTAACACACAGAGACCATCTTTGACTCATTCCTTTCATACCTGCCAGGATGGCTGTCCATGGCAGAAATGGCAAGCTTTTGCTAGTTTTCTCTGCACACAGCCAAGCAATGCAAGAGCACCTTCCAGAAGGGGCCTCACTGGATTGTTGGGAGGGCCATTAGCTGAAATTCCACCTCTCAATTCAGGTGATGAGAACATAAAGCAGGAAGGTGGTGCTGGGCTTCTTAGGTCTGGACTTGTGGGAGCCTCAAATTGACTCTGGTAAATCATAAGTTCCCCAAACATTTCTTTCTTTCTTGTTTGTTACTTATATCAGAGTTATAATAGCAGCATTAAGAGAAAATAGAAAATTAGAGAAAGTTTTAAGGAAGAGAAGGTACTAAATATGTCTCTAATGGTAGCTGTCTATTACATTTATCTTGGAGCTTCCTAGTAGCCAAGGCAAAAAGAGGTAAGCAAACATGTATGTGTCCTGCCTTAAGAAAGCACCTACCAAGAAAACCTGACCTTTCAAATAGGTTTTTTTTTAATAGTAAATCTATGACTATCTGATGATGATTCTGTTAGAGTCATTTAAACTGTATAGCTTCACTAGCCAAAATTCTGTCTTCTTGCTATGTTTTCAAGTGTGTAGAACATGGATATTTGAGGGCTCTCTGGTTTGTTCTCTAAAGTGCTTCCTTAGGTTTGTATCAGGAGGGAATACTGTATTGTTCCTCAAACCCTTGACCATAATTGCATGATTTGAAATTGGGTTTCTATAATTTCTTAGTTGTATGCTGTTAAAGCAGTTTCTTAACATGCCTGAGGCTTCGTTTCCGCATCTGTAATGTAGAACTTATTATAAAGCCTACGTTCCTAAGTGGCCCCGAGGAGCAGTGAGGTGACATGCATTTTAGCAGGTAGCCCTTGTCACCTTACTTCTGACAGGTGCACATAGGTATTCGGTTCCCTGGCCCCGAAAACCTATCCTGTCTGACACATGTTGGAATCACTTCCCTTCATCATCATTCAGAATAAAGAGGAACAGGAAGCATCATGGTGTCTGTCCCATGACCCTCAAACCTTTTAACCACAGTAGACTCATTTATGCTAGAAGGGTCTCCGTGGCTGACCCACTTCTAGAGACCCTAAGGACCCTCTTCTGCCTCATTCTGCCCTCCAGATGGACCGAGCAGAGCAGAGGGGAGAGCTTCAGACAGACAAGATGATGAGGTCGGCCGCCAAGGACGTGCACAGGCTTCGAGGCCAGAGCTGTAAGGAGCCCCCGGAGGTGCAGTCTTTCAGGTCAGAAAGTGGGCGCCGGGCCAGGTGGCCTTTCCCTTCCCACGCTGCCCTCCCAGCCTCGGTCTCCTCCTCTCCGTCTTGCTGCTCCCAGTCCATGCACCCTGCTGGAGCAGAGCCCCAGCTCTCTGTAGCAGGTGTTGTCCCCTGCCGAGTCTTCCCCTGTGATCTGTGAGCCCCGTGGTGCTTCCCCTCGGCTGTCTTTATCGGTCCCCACACAACACAACCTAATTTGTTAGATCCTTTTGTTTAATGGATGAGCCACCTGCTCCGGCCTTTCCTCTTAGCATTCCCATCACCGGTAACTGCGGAGGATTGGCCGAGGGATAAATTAGCCTGGGAGTGACGGATGCTTGCTGGGCCTCCCTAGTCCTGCCTGCCCCCTGCCAGGATCTTGGGGAGATGCCTTCTTGCCACCCCGGACCCAGGCGTGTCCTGGGCCTCCCGTTCACAGAGGGTTTTGCATTTAGGCTTGTGTTGTCCTCTTGGAAAAGGTATTCATGTTTTTGTATGTGCTAAAATGCATCCCTTTGTGGAATATAAAGATGTAAAGTATACTGTCATTTGTCTAACCACACTTGGGCATCTTTTCATTCTTAACCAACTGGGAATCTAAAACAGGCCACCAGTGGAAATGGCCATGGGCCCTTTGAGACTTCAGAGGCCCCTGATTGGAACTGGAGGTGACTGTTCCTGCTGATGTTCCCCCAAGGCAGAGATTCTCAGCAAGGGGGCTACCTGAGCCTCCAGGGAGGGCATTTGTCAATGTCTAGGAAAATCCTATGGACAGAGGAGCCTGGTGGGCTGCAGTCCATGGGGTCACTAAGAGTTGGGCACGACTGAGCGACTTCACTTTCATTTTTTACTTTGATGCATTGGAGAAGGAAATAGCAACCCACTCCAGTGTTCTTGCCTGGAGAATCCCAGGGACGGAGGAGCCTGGTGTGCTGCCGTCTATGGGGTCACATAAAGTCGGACACAACTGAAGCGACTTAGCAGCAGCAGCAGCAGGGACATTTTTGATTGTCAGAACCAGAGGAGGGCTGGCAGAGATGCTTCTGACGTTTTGTGGGTAGAGGCCAGGGATGCTACTAAACACCCTACCTACACAGGATTAGCCCCACAATGAAGAAATTATCCTGTGCGTAATATCTATAAAGTGAGGTTGAAAAGTCCTGCTCTAAAGGGATGGCCTGGGACTTCCCTGGTGGTCCAGTGGTTAAGAGTCCACATTCCCACTGCAGGGGTCATGGATTCAGTACCTGGTCAGGGAACTAAGAGTCTGCATGCCTCATGGCGAGGATGTAAAAAAAAAATACATAAAGGAATGGCCTTTTTTACAGGGAGAAGATGGCATTTTTCACGCGGCCTCGAATGAATATCCCGACCCTCTCTGCAGATGATGTCTAATCGCCAGAAAAGTATTTCTTTTGTCCCACTGATCACGCTGTGAACCTAGACTGTGGCTAAAGTTATTTATGTGGTGTTATATGAAGGTACCAAGTCATGAGTCGTCTAGCACTCTTGTCCATTTGAAGATAAACAGAATTTTTTAGTTTGGGTTCTATTATTATTTAAAAAAACCCAAAAAACAGACAAAAAAAAAACCAAAACAAAAAAACAAAAAAAAAACCCCAGCATTATAATGACAAGATTGTATAGTTTGTATATTTAGGAATGTATTTTTGAGAAAGAAAATTTAAATGAACTAAAGCAGTATTAAGTTGCTGCTCTTCTTAAAGTTGTTTAGATTTTTTTTTTTTTGTACAGATCTACCTACTAGAGGTTTCACTGCAATAAGAAGTAATGTTTGGGGGACAGTAATCCTCAAAGGATGTCCTGAAGGTGTCACAGCACAGCTGACCTTTCGTACTTAACGTATTTTGTACACTCTTTTTAAAAAGATGCACGGGAACTGTGCAGGGCTTCTGAGGTGCGTCCGTGAATCTTCACGCGCTGTGATGTGTCTTTATGTGGCCGCCTGACGTGGAGCGGGCAGCGTGGGGCTGGCTGGTGACTGGCCTGCCCACGCTGGTCTGATGCCCAGTGAAGCACTGACGCGAGTGAGGGAGGGCTGTGGAGAACACCTTTCAGTTTTATCTCCATCAATAAAGTGGCCTTTCTGAACAAACGTCCTCACTCGCTTTTTCTCCCCTACCCCTCCCTTCATCCGTGCTCCCCTGGTTTTTGAATCTCCGCTTCCCACTCATTCCCTTCCAACCCATCCCCAGGCCAGGAGAGTTGTTTTTTTTCCTTTCCTTTTTGTTCTCTCACGTGCTCATGAAAGGAGCAAACGTCTGCTGAGCGGGGACTGCTGCAGACATCCGAGGTCAGCCTTCAACACCCCAGTCCCAGAATCTCTTCCTCCTCCCTTCCTCTGAAGGGAGCGCTGCAGCTGTCTTCAGAATAGCTCAAACTGCCAGCCACACCAGAACCTTGGGCCAGCAGGCTTCCCTGGGGGTCCGGTGCTTACGAATTCACCTTGCAATGCAGGGGACACCGGTTCCTTCCCTGTTTGGGGAACTATTATCCCACATGCCTCAAAACAACTAAACCCACGTGCCGTAACTACCGAGCCCACGTGCTGCAACTGGAGAATCCATGCACCTCCACAGAAGATCCCTCACGAGACAATGAAGATCCCTCATGCGCCAGCTAAGACCTGACACAGCCAAATAAGTAAATAATATCTTTTAAAAATACAGGGGTCTTCCATGGTGGTCCAGCGGTTAACAACCTGTCTGCCAAGGCAGGGGCCACGGGTTTGATCCCTGGTCCAGGAAGATCCCACATTCCTTGGGGCGACTAAGCCCGAGCCCCACAACTACTGAAGCCTGTTTGCCTAGACTCCGTGCTCCACAACAAGAGGAGCCACCGCACTGAGAAGCCTGTGTACCACAGTGAAGAGCAACCCTCGCTCACTGCAGTTAGAGAAGACCCAGGCAGCAATAGAGGCCCAGAGCAGCCGAAGATCAGTAAATACAAATTAAAGAAAACACAGACTCCTGCACCCCTCCCTCAACCAGGATGGCCCAGAGACCTGCCTTTTTCCACACTCCCACGTCAGTCTTACAGTAAAAAGTTCGAGGGACCCACTGGCTTAATGTAAGTGAATCACAGGCAGAGGCAGAGGGGAGCAGCTCCACGTCCTAGCAGAAAGTCACACACACAGGGGACACTTAACGGGAATGACCCTCTCCAGGCCACTGAGGACCGCTGCTGAAGGGGTGATGGAGGAGACACCCCTCTCCCCCTCTTGGCTGCGGAGCCCCTTCCCCACTTCCTTTCCTGGCCGCTCCTCGAGTATTAGCCCTTATGTGAAGGAACCTTTCTGGTGTTCAGATGGTTGCGAATCTGCCTGCAATGTAGGAGACCCGGGTTCAATCCCTGGATTGGGAAGATCCCACAGAGGACAGACAGCATGGCAACCCACTCCAGTACTCTTGCCCCGAGAATCCCATGGAAAGAGGAACCTGGCGGGCTACAGTCCATGGGATCGCAAAGAGTCGGACAGGACTGAGTCCGACAAGGTCCAAAGCACACTTAAGTGCTATGGTAGCAAACCCTTCCACTTCTATAGGTGTTGGCATGGTCCTGAAGCTTTACTTATTTGTAAGTCACTTATCTTTACAGTAGCCCTCCCAGGTAGATAGTATCATGATCATTACTATTTTAGATCATTCCAACTTAAGTTACTTGCCCAACATCACACAGCTGGCAAGTGGCATAGCTAGGAATAAACCTAGAGTGTACTCTTCAGACTCCTCACCACAGTGACAAGTCTTCACATTTCTGTCCCCACCAGCTAGTTACCTCCCTGAAAGCATCCTGTATCGCCAGTTTTTCTTGTCTTTCCAGAAATAGGCAATTGCATATACAACCTTACATATGTATTCTTTTTTTTCTACCTGAAAGTGCATACTAACCAGACTATTTTAAACCTTGCCTTTTCTCACTTAGTAAGATATCTGTAAGAAATTTCATTATTTTTAACAACTCCAGAGTATTCCACTGCATGTCCAAATGAAGCGAGGGACATTTATGTTATTACCAATTCCTTGATTTTACAGCATCCAATTACTCTCTTTTCCATTCAACCTTTCACAAGTTTATGAGAGTATCTGTAGATAAATTACTGCCTATATACACATATATTTTTTTAACTTTTTCGTTTATATTGGAGTATAGTCGATTAGCGATGTTTTGATAGTTCCGGGTGGACAGCAAGGGGCTCTGCCATACATATACATGTACCCACTCTCCCCCAAACTCCCCTCCCATTCAGACAGCCATATAACAATGAGCAGGGTTCCCTGCGCTATAAAGTAGGTCCTTGTTGGTTATCCGTGTCAAATATAGCAGTGTGTACATGTCCATCCCAAACTCCTTAACTTTCCCTTCCCCACTATCCTTCCCCACCTGGCAACCATAAGTTCATTCTCTACATACTGTGAGTCTGTTTCTGTTTTGTAAGTAAGTTTATTTGTATCATTTGTTAGATTGTACGTATAAGTGAAAACGTATTTGTCTTTCTCTGACTTAGAATGAAAATCTCCAAGTCCATCCATGTTGACGCAAATGGCATCATTTCATTCTTTTTATGGCTAAATAGTATTTCATTGTATGAATGTAAATAGTATTTCATTGTATGTATGTATGTACCACATTTTCTTTATCCATTCCTGTGTTGATGGACACTGAAGCTCCATGTCTTATTACCTGCATTTTTCAAATGTTCCACGTAAAACTGTAAAAGTGCCTCTCAGTCATTTCTTCTCAGTATGTTTGCTGGCTTTATTAGGTGGCATGAAGATCAAGGACATAATACATTATAGGCACTTAACAAAATTCAGTCATTAATGAATGGTAGGGAACTTGTTATAATCCAGTAGAAATTATATTCCTACTATATTCTAGATGCTCCTGGGAATAACTAACGGTAGAAGTTTGTCCTACACCACCAGTAAGGCTTCTCCCAGGGCACTTGGGACTGGTTTTACATTTATCTAGGTCATATATTTATAAGACTTCCCAATCATAAATATACATGAAAAAAAATAAATATACATGAAGCTAATCAGAAATAACAAAATGACCTCAGCTGAACATTATAATAGTTTTTACCACTTGCATTGTAGTTCATATTTTGGTTTTGAACCTATGATCATGAAGGTATCAGACACCTAGGAGCAGGCATCATGCCTGTCTTGTGCACCATTTTAGCCTCAGGGCCAGAGCAGTCCTGACGGATGGCAGAACCTCAAACAATTGTTCTGTGAATGAATTAGTCTAAGACGAAAGTTCTGACTGCCATCCTGCTAAGTAATAACATGAACCTGGGAAATTTCCAGCGGTCTTATTTTATGTTTGTTCATGGGGATTTTTTGTGTTTTGTTTGTTTTCCGGGGTTTTTTGCCCCTTTGACAGGCTGTCTTGATAACCAATGATTTCATGCAGAGTTTTCCAAAGCATAGTAGAGGAGGCACTGTTAGAGGGTGCCTCGGTGGATTTCATATAATTATAATCATATGTTTATTTTAACTTGGCCATCGAACTCCTGAATTCACAGCTACTACTCCTGAGGATGAGGATGAACAAGCATTTAAGTTCAGAAAGGAATTGATTTAAAAACTGATTTAATTTAATTTCCTATCTTAGGAAATTCCCTGGCAAGTCCGGTGGTTAGGATTCTGTGTTTTCACTGACGAGGGCAGTGGTCAAACCCTGGACAGGGAGCTAAATGCCTGCAAGCCTGGTGGCATTGCCAAAAAAAATAAATTTTAAAAATCACATAATCAACAAAGAAACTTATCAGACAATGATTGAGTCAATATGTCTAGAATGGTGCTAGGTATCTGTAAGCTACTTTTCAACAACCATATAGTATTCCACTAAACGAAATGGATTAAATAACTTGAATTAATTGATGGATATTTATGTTATTGCCAACCCCTTGCTTTCACACACAGTAAAATGCCTTCGTATTGGCTCAAGGCTGGTGTGACACTGGACGCAGGTGCTGTGCAAGGGAATGAGGAGGACCAGGGGCCCCGGGACCACTCGATGACTTCCCCACCATCTCTCTGACAGCAGGGAGAAGACATGGAGAGGCTTTCCCCTCCTGTTGGGTCAGAACTTTGTCTTGGTCCCCTCCTCCCCTTTGCAGAAGCCACTCACTCTGTGCTCCGGGCAGCCCTTATTGGGAGCTGGAGGCTCAGAAAGGGGGCCTGCCCTCCCTAGAGTTTCAGTATGCTTGCTGCCTGATCTTTTTCACTTTAGAATTTGTTTTCAGTTACTATGTAATTATAGGTTTAAAAAAAAAAACCCTCAAATGCTACAGAAAGATATAAGACACCCTACCCTCTGGAATCTACAATTAATAATTGTTAATCAGGTGGTTTCCACTTAAATAATTGACCTTTATTCCCTGTTCATCATCTGCAGGCAAGAGCTGTCCCCTCCCTGCCATAAAGATGAGATTCTGCCACATACTTCCCTTTCTCCTTAGCAACACGTAATTTTTGTTAGTTACGTGGTTATTTTTTTATGTAGTTTAAAACAGACAGTCACATTTACATGCTCCTCTGCAATGATCATCCAGCTTCCTATTATGAGTTGATTTGAAAATTAAGAACCATTAACAGCATTTACAGTGCGATGGTTGAAGTAAATATTATTTGCTATGGAAACGAAGTATGTTGGGTCATTAAACTTTTGTTCCAGGAAGGAAAATTCAAAGATCCAATCATCTTTTCCTTCCCTATATAACCTTCTTCATTTCTTTCTGCTCATACTTAGTTCATTATTTCTCATTCCCCATACCTTTATTTTTGGATTCCTAGTCCAAGAGCAAGTTCCATCAGTTCTACCTCCAAAATTTATCATGAATCTATCCATTTTATTTTTCCCTGTTACCACTTGGGTTCATTTTCCCTCACCTGTATCACTTGCAAACCTTCTGTATTAGTTTGCTAGTGATGCCATAACGGTCTGTCAAAGACTGTGGGGAGGCAGGCAGTGAGGGAGGCTTTACCAACAGTTTATTTTCTCATAGTCCTGAAGGCTAGAAGTCTGAAACCAAAGGGTCTGTGGGCAAGGGTGATTACTTCTGAGGCCATTCCCCTTGACTTGTAGATGGCAGTCTTCCCAGTGTGTCTGTACACAGTCTTCCTTCTGTGTGTGTGTGTGTGTGTGTGTGTGTCCTGTCTTATAAGGACACCGAACATATTGGATTAGGCTCATGACCTCATTTAAATTAATTCCCTCTGTAAAGGCCCTGGTGGTGGTTTAGCCGCTAAGTCGTGTCTGACTCTTGCGACCCCATGGACTGCAGCCTGCCAGGCTCCTCTGTCCCTGGGATTCTCCAGGCAGGAACACTGGAATGGGTTGCCCTTTCCTTCTCCAGGGGATCTTCCCGACCCAGGGATGGAACCCGGGTCTCTTGCATCGCAAGCAGACTCTTTAGCAACTATGCTACAAGGGAAGGAAAGGCCCTACCTCCAAATATAGCCACATTCTGAGATACTAAGGGGTCAGGCCTTTGACATATGGATTCGGGAGAGAATATAATTCACCCTGTAACAACTCAACTTCCTTTTGAAAGACAGAACCATCCAATGGTTCACACTCTGCTTAGAACAAAATGAAACCAGCCCCCACCCCTCTCTCCTTCACTTACAAATTCCTATCTGCTTTGGTTTTGCCAATCTTTCCATATCTGCTCACACCCAATCCCTCTTTCTGCTTTCCAGTAGACCTGGTTCCTGCCGAGACCATTTGCATTTGCTTTCCGCTCTGCCTAGAACCCTGTTGACTGAAGAAAAGAAAGCACAACCCGCATGTGGAGTCTCTCTAGTTGCAGAGAGGGAAGGCTACTGTTTGTTGCAGTGGGTGGGCTTCTGATCGTGGTGGCTTCTCTTGTTTCGGAGCACAGGCTCTAGGCGCACACGCTCCAGTAGTTGCAGCACTAGTGCTCAGGAGCTGTGGTCCTTGGCCTTAGTTCCTCTGCGGAATGTGAAATCTTCCTGGACCAGGAATTGAACCCATGCCCCATGAACTGGCAGGCAGATTCTTGTCCAATTATACCACCAGGGAAGTCCAGTTTTTAGTTTTTATTTAAACTTTTTTTTTTTTTTTGGTCACACTGCATCTTCACTGTGGCATGGGGGCTTAGCTGCCCCCACAGCATCTCGGATCTAAGTTCCCTGACCAGGAATAGAACCTGTGTCCCCTGCATCCTGAGTTCCCTCAGGGTTCACTGTCCGGGGTGGCTGTCCTGTGATGGCCTGATGTCTGCAACATCCTTTATTAACTGATATGGCAGGAGACATTTTTCATTCACAACCCTCCTATTCATTACATTAAGAAAAACTTTTTAGCAACATCCTGTGACAAACTTGAGTTATGTGTAATTCAGGGTGTAGGTAGACATTCTAAGAAGGCCTAGGGCCTGTACACATGAGAAGAATCTATTTACAGATTGTGAGTTTTTGTATACTCCTTTCTAAAAAAATTTTTGCTTGCAAATCCAGTTATCTGATTCTCTTTTTATAGCTCTCCTTCCACAGAGAAAGGCATAGCACTCCTCCCCCTGCCCTGGGTGTAAACCAACAGGCACTGAACAAGGTGCGCTTCGTCAGGAAGAGAGTTTCCT